GAACACGTGTCGGGCTATCGACAGAGAAATAAAAAAGACATCTGGAGAGACGACGACATCTGTCTATTATTATATGTATGGCAAAAAAAAAGTATTTATTTCTAACCAAAACTTCCATTTTGTTTGTTGGTGTTTGTGACTTACCGCGTAGTTACGTCAGTTTTATCATCGCGTGTAATAGCCAGGTTCTTCTCGAGCGGACTGCCTGTGCGAACAGCACGACGTTCGACTAGCGACAGTCACAATCCAGATTGTAGGTAAATCGAGATAGAAGTGAGTCGTGGATTGTGTGCGAACGTAGTATAACGCGTTTAACTCGTTCGACTTAACGAACGTACCCTAAGTACAAAAACTCTCGTGCAGATCAAGTGTAGGAATTAACAACAGGGATGTGAAATTAGGTCAGGGTGAGAGTGTCCTGGTTTTCGTGAGAGAGAGAAAGAGAAACAGTTTGTCATTTTATATAGACAAAATCTGAAGGTAGGAGAACTCAAAAGAGGAGAAGAGAAATTAAACTAAATGAAGAATTATTAGAGGATGTTGACAGCTTCAGATACCTATGAACAGAAATATCATAAAACAGAAAGTTGAGCAAAGAAATAAGTAGAAGAATACAGCAAGCTGATGGCTTCTATCAGTAATTTGATCTTGAAAAAAAATGTCACTCAAATGTAAAAAAGTCCTTTATCAATTATACATTGCATGCTGAGTAAGACAAGAAGAGACATTATAATGAATAAAGAAATAAGATAAAGAACAGAAATGGAAAATTTAGTTGAGAAAATAAAAGAAATTAGACTGAGATGGTTTAAACATAACAAGAGAAAGGAAGAAAATAGAAAACCAAAGTTAGTATTAGAGAAGATGATGAGGAAAGAAGACCTAAGACAAGACCCAGAAAGATGTGGATGGACAAGACAGCTGAATACCTAGCATCACTGGATTAAGGACGAAGAAGAAGAAAAGGGTAAACAAAGTTTGTATCTAGATACAGTGATAGGCAAAAGGTCTCAAACTACGCAGGGTCAAATTCGACACGTTTTCCTTGTTAGATATGTACATAACAGCCAGAACATTTTTAAATCATTAAAACTTGTATTAGTTAAAAGATTATTTAAAAGTAATGGAAAATCGTCATGTCACGTGATAACTACTTGAACTTCGTCATACGAGAGAACACGTTAATCTTTCAATAACTTCCTTAGTTTTGCTGGCAACCAGAAATTTAATGATGTTACTAAAATACAAAATAAAACGTTACCTCTAATTCTTAATAATCTTTATTTTTTGACAGTTTTTTGTTCGTTACTATAAAAACCATAACTAAACAGATAAGATACAAATAATGTATTATGCACGTATAACACGAGTGTAACCAAAGACCATTGTCGAATTCTCCTTCAAAGTGAATGATTTGAACGGTTGATCGATATCAATGCCATCTTCTGTTGATTATAAAAAGTTACAATATATGGTTTTTATTTTTACTTTAAGTTTGTAAAAAAATTAATAATAATTATATTGGAATAAATATGTTTTACATAAATATTTAATTTAATTAATATTTCTCGTTTACATATTTTCTAGGAAAAATCTTAATTCGGTTTTCCAAAGATGTTAGTTCCATGGATAATTTGTTACCTTTCTTTACTTTCCTTGTGATAAGAGTAAGTTAATTTTGAATATATAGATTTAAATTATAAAATGCAATGAACATTTAAGAGGAATGGTAAACAAAACACGTATGGTGTTTTGTTTACCATTCCTCTTAAATGTTTAACAAAACACGTATGGTGTTTTGTTTACACAAATATAATATATAAAAAGTGAAATAAGCACTGTAATCTAATTTTTAACATAAACATCGCGTGTTAAGTGTAAAGGTCCGAAACCATTTTGTTTTATAACAGTATCACCCCTCTAATAAACCTCGTGATTAGGTGTAAAGGGAAAAGGGGGGGCTTCTGCGGTCAATGACCGAGACGCTCTACTCGAATAAGAAAAAAAGGAATGTTAAAATATCAATGAAAGAAATCTCCTCCATTTGTTTAACGGTAATTCTATAGACGTTAATATCAACAAGATAGGAATAAGAGATGTTTCCTATCCTCTCTTTGGTTGCACGTGACACGTGGTTACAGCAATAAATCGACTCAGTCGTAGTCAAACGCGACGTTTGATATAAACAATATCTAGCTTGTTGACCAGTTTAAAGAAATTATTGGCAGCTGAATGTTAATTTATGGATGAGAGCTGTCAAACCTACAGAAATTTATATTATAAAATCATATCTTCTAGACACCGATATCAATAAATTAAACAAACTTCTCTGTGCCAGTGGTCCGTACTAGCTAGACCCAGACATCACACGAACAGGTGTGCGTATAAATCATTAATGATGTCATAGTTCTCACCCCCTCAAAAATAGTATAAAGAGGGCTTGGACGCAGTCCACAGGGCGGACATTTACAAGGCGGACAGTTCCAAGGCGGACATCTCCAGGGCGAACATCGACTGACACATCCCGCCACCCTATCCGTCGCTACCTCGCCATAACTGCCGTGACGATCCAGGAACGTTTTTACCAACGACCCATATTACGGATCGGGAACTTAGAGGTATTTTTTTGGATATCTATTTGTACACTCTCTCTCTGAGAAGTCTCTATTCGAGAGGTCTCTCTCTCGTCTCTTAATTTAACTTAGAGAATAGAAATTAGATGTTACATAAGAAAGACGAATCATTGTCGCGAAGTAGAATAGAATTTTTGTAGCTCTTCACTTTCGCTTTGATATGTACAATTTTATAGTTGTTTATTAAACGTGTTATTATTGTTTAACCTGTGTATTTATTTGGGAACCTGTCAACTTACTCATTAACCTTCCCACTCATTTCATTTTACCCTCCTATAAAGCCATCCTCTGACAGAGCCGCCGGTAAGTGGGGACAACTAACCCCCTCGGTTCTCATAAGTTACTAAGTCAGTGATGACCAAACCTTTGTATATTTTTCTTTTTTCCTGCGTCTTATTTATAGGATCCATTTTGACTGTTTCTTTGATAAAATCATTTCTAGTTCTGTTCTTCGTCACACCACACATCCATCTCAACACTGTCATGTCCGTTGTATCCATCTTTTCCCGGGCTCTTGTAATTGCCCACGTCTCGGTACTATATAGGTCATTCCAGGTCTTACCTTGTTTTTCTGTAATTTTCCTTTCATTTTGCAGCTGAAACAAGTTTTTGTTTGTCCTGTTGAATAAAAAGAGCGCCATTCTTCTAAAGTTTTGCCTTACATCTTTCTGAACTTCGCCATCGTTATCAAATCTTTCATTTGACATTGCAATAGTCCAAATGCAAATCGGAAAGAACAATACTTGATTTTGGGGTAGAAGGACAGAAATTTCTCATAAGCGTTTTGAAAGTCTACCATTATCTGTTTTAAGGTGTGTGATTTTCCATTTGCAAGTGCTGAGCAAACGTATCGCAGTAACCGGGAATTCCTCTTATATGAGTGAGTGATTATAAAAATACTCAAAATCGTATATTTTTCGTTTTGATATTTGACTAACGACCAAGTGCAAGACCGATTAACGTGTCAACACGACATCTGAGAAATCGGGAGCGAATCTGAAGAAGACGAGAAATCCCAAAAATTTTTTGAATTGGACTTAATTAGAAGGGCGTATAGTTTTTTATAGGGCGGAAAGAGTAGAAAAAAAATTTGAGTTTCGAAATTTTGAAAATTAAAATACCGGTATTTCGTACGACTATAAAATGAAAATCTCAATACAGTAAAATTGTGCTACCTAATTCGGACAAATTTTTTCAAACATTAATTTACAATTTCTTAAGAATAGAAAAATTAAATTATGAAGTGTTTTCTTCTGGGATAACGTGCATTATGTTACTGCACATTCCTGTACATTCTATTCTCCTAAAACTTTTCCTATTATAATAAATTCAACAGATGATCTCAGCTCAGTAAAACTTCTGTGTACAGATGATGATAAAAATACATTCTATATCATCTTTCCTGATTTTCGTATTGTCCGAACACGATGACAACTCGGACAGTCGTAACCACAAAAATTCTGCATTCTATTTGTAGTTAGCAGGGATTTATTGTATATAAGCTCTTGGAATAGTTTTTAACAGAATTATATACAGTCGACCCCCTATAACACTTTGATTATTCCATTTTATATGAATTCCATGTTGTACGAGTCACTTAGATTTTACAAATACTGTACAGTACGTGTGCCAGGCTGTAAACGGCTCACGTATTTGTAAAATCTAAGTAACTCGTACAACATGGAATTCATATAAAATGAAATAATCAACAGTGTTATAGAGGGTCGACTATAATTTAATAAATGTGATGAGAAATAAATGAATTTTTTCGTATTTTTACTCATGTCAGAAGAGATTGACTCGTATATTTAGTAAAAGAAATATAATATAGAATCTATCGTGAGTCTGGAACCATAGTAATTACGCTGATTATTGTCTATTCTTTTAGAAAAAACATGGAGATTAATAAAAAAAAAGAAATAGTTATCATTCAAATTTCAGAATAATTTTTATCTGCAAAACCCGCAATGAATGAGAAGTAGTTGAAGATTTAACGCATTGCATCTAGGCCTCTGAATAGAGACACACAGTTCTCTGGATGAAGCTAGTTACACTCTTCATTTCTTTATTTATTGTTACAAAATACAGGAAAAATCCCGTAAGAAAAATGATATACACACCTAAGAAAATATAAGAAAAGGAAAAATTTTTAACTTCTCACTGATGGAGAGTCTTTACCATAAAAATTATTTAAATTAATTTTTTTGTTAATCTCCATGCCACTGCTAAAAAACAGACATGTACATAACAACTATAGTTCCAGACCTATTAGACACCTGTATGCATTACTTTACAGAGATGCCACTTTAAACGCAGTGGTAGAATTAGTTTACTTATAAAATCTAAATTTTAACATCTCGAATTATTTATTATTTATTAGCAATTTATATATATTTTTTTATTTTAGATAGCTTTTCTTGTTGTCGGCATGTGTGTTCTTCAAGCAATACTCTGTCCTTATCTATTTCTAATGATTGCTGTCCTTTTAGTAATATTCTGTGCTTTGTGGACAATCTTTAGCCGAGTGTTGAAAAGCGTAAAACATTTGGAAGGAAAATGTAAGTGTTTCGAATATATAAGAGTTTATTGTACTGTATTTAACTTAATTGCATGTAGAACATTGGCGATGAAATTTGTGAACAGGAGTGATGACTCGATAAACAATCGATTTTAAGCTGCCGAGTGACAATGCAAAAGAATCAAAACAGTTATTTGATTTCATAAGCTAAACAGTTTCTTAAAAATCATCTGACAAAAGTTGTATTAATTCTCTACATAAGGAAAAGGTTTTACTTCTGTCAGAACTTTATTTCTTGGAGATTATTAAATCCAGTGTTTTTTTATTTTTGTTATTGACAACTGCCAGACAATCGCTTACATAAAGAAAAAAACAGGTTAAATTACAAGTAAAGTTTTAAAACATTTATAAAAAATTTTACAGAATAATTGAATAAATTGTAATTTATAATGTGTTTATTTATTGTAGTCAATTTTAAAATATTACTTAATGTAAATACTGTATATAATTACAAATTTTTAGGTCATCCTCCGGATTTTTCACCACTATGCTTAAAAAAGTGGATTATCTTTGATTTAAATAAACAGATTTAATGTATTTCCATAAAACGTTATAACAAGTCACAGGTATTTCTGCAAGTTCAGATGTACAGTCGATCCCCCTATAACACTGTAGAGACGTTCCGTTCTTTATGAAATTCATGCATTACGAGTTCTTAAATACATGAGCCAATCACAGCCCGGCACGTATGCAGTTTACGGACTACGGCTGTTTGAAAGGTTTTCTTCCATAAAATTAATCGATTCTAGACTACTTCGACTCAACATTTCCAAAATATGTATAATTTTTTGGGAATAATCCATATAAACTATGCTATAAACAAAAAATTGTAGGATTACTTACCGAGTGTGCACCGTTCGACAAAGCCATTGCTTAAGCTTGTTTTCGTCGTGGAGCGGAGCATCGCACTGGGGCGCGCGTTTCCTGATAAATTATTTTTCTGCGAAAAATTTGCTAAACTTTGGAGACATCATTAATATAAATATAATTTTTATGGACGTTAAATAATAAATGGTTTTTAGTAGGTCCGCTGCTCGTTTAAACTCAACGGTTTGTGCAATATTCGCTATTGGTCTAGATTCGACCAATCCTGTCGCGACACGAGTCGGCGATGACGTTTTACGGAATTATACGAGTCTCTTTTAGCCTGTTTATACGAATACGGTCGCAATTTTTTCGCCGTTATATACGAATCCGAATTATATGAACTTGTTTTATAGGGGGTCTACTGTAATGATATCTTAAAAAAACCTGTATAAATGTGTAATTTTCCAAAAGACAAATGACAGTTGTGAATTACAAACATTTTGTTTCAAGACAGCTCAAAATTATATCGTTTTTAAGAAAAGACAGTTTAACCAATTAGGCATACAGTAAATTTATTGTAATGCTTAAAACATTATTTAAACCGTTGAAGTCAAACACAAATTCACTTTACAATTTCTTAAAACATTTAATTTTAACAAAGAAAATGAAACTTTAGAAGTAGCACATCACAGCATTGTAGCGAGAAATTTCTTTTGTGTACAAAATTAGTGGGAAGTAAACAAGATGTGTCCTAATAAGCGAGTCAGGATAATATTTAGAATAAACTAAGCTTTATGCAATGCTTGCTTTTATGAATAAACGAGCATGGGCAGTTTATTGTTGCATTTATAAATTTCCCCATCTCTAAACACAGAAGGTAAGTTATCTCAGATGTTATTGCGCATAGAACTGCAGTTCCAATTGTAAAGTACTACAGCAAGTCGAAATTACTGCATTCTACATTTTTTTCCAATCAAATAATGATTAAGACAACCCAACATGTACTGTACTTTGCAACAATTGACTGGTTGTGTAACTTCTAGGAATAAGGTAAAGATTAAAAAACAAAATTTGATATGGTAATTTGTACGAAGGAGGCATTAATGCTAGTTTGGTGATTAAAGGTCGAAGGAGAGGGAGTTAACGGGGTCGTATATCTTGCCTGGAGAGGGGACAGACTTATTGCAAATTTTGATCGTTATTAGCATTTTCAATTTTTCAAAAACCTTATTTCTACTCTGAAAATTAAGCATTTTGACATTTTATAACAATTAATAATGTAAAAGGTTTTAAATAAAATCTCATTAGACACGGTGCCCCAACAATGGTGCCACAACTTTGTGTTGAAGTGTCTTTGCGTTTCATAAAAATAAAGATTTCTCAAAAGAAAATCATGCGAGTGGTTTCTGTATTTTTGGTAGTGAACATATTCGTTACGTAGAACGATCTACAAATTAAAATTCGTAGAATAATGGGATGCTGCAGTTGACAAACTCCATCTAGTTAGCCTCCACCGAGAACTCTTCGGTAGCTTCAATATACTTTTGATCATGAGTAGACTTTACGCCCAACAATGCTCTTTGTCATTGTGTTAACAAGCGTAAGCACTTGCTGTGAAATGTGTCCGTGCAGAAACCAACCAACTGATATATTGGTCAATTTTTTCTGCAAAAAAGATTTAGCACAATGTTTACTACTTTTTCTTGTTGCTATGGCTTGATATAAATTAGAGAAATGTCTTATTTTTCAGTTGTTGTTTTACATAAATAGTACAATGTTCTGCTTGCATTTAAATTCTATGCAATTCTGATTAGTAGTTTCTTAGATATAGGTAAATATTTTCTGGTGCTTTTTTAAGTTTAATAAGTTAATAATTATTATATGTAAAAGTTAAATAATTGAATTCTATATTAGAAACTTCGTAAAATACTTGAATTATATATACAAATTTCTTTTGACAGTGAGAAGTCCAGTATTTTCTCATCTGAGTGTATCTCTTTACGGACTGACGACAATTAGAGCATTTAACGCTGAAACCAAATTTAAATCTATGTTTAATAAGTATCAGGATAAGCACACTTCAACGTGGTTTCTTTATTTGTCTTTGAATCGATGGATTTCCGTATACGGTCACATAATTTGTTTCATAAATCTAATTATTACTGTTATTATTTTTGGTGTTTCAAATAATTCAGGTGAGTGACTGTATTTAAACGTATACAGTTTATAATATGGTTAGTTTTGAATTTATATTTGCGGCTTTAGATGACGCAGGAAGCCAAATTGGACTTGTATTGAATTACGGAATAATAATAATTGTATATTTTCAACTCCTTATTGGATATACATCTGAAATGGAATTTCAGGTATTGTGTATCTAACCAACCGGATAGTTAATCTAAATATCAGACGAATAGCCAATTGCTTTATCGGACCAATTTTTCGAGCAAGATAAACTTTTTGCAAGAGAGAATTGTCTTATGACCATACAACACACGTTTTCTTACTATTCTATCCTATATACGAGGAGCAGTCAAAAAGTTCCCGGAATTGTGATCCTGCGCTGTAGTGGTGCGAGATATGGCAACGCAGACCTAATCACCTTAAAAGTAGGCTCCTCCCGCACAAACACACTTGTTCCATCGATCCTGCTATCGTTGAAAGCAGGCGTGGAATGCTTTCTTTGGAATGTTCCGGAGTTGGGCTGTAGTATTCGATATGATGTCCTCCCTGCTTGCGAAACGCATCCCTTTGAGGCATATCTTGAGAGTAGGGAATAACGAAAAGTCACTGGAAGCATTATTTGGAGAGTAAGGTGACTGGGTGATGACAGGAATACTTTTGTTGGCAGGAATTACTGCACAACATGCGATGTGACTCGGTGTTTCGTTGTTATGGAGAAACTACTGTCCACACCACTTGTCGGGGCCGCTCCAACTCAGCGATGATTATTCTTCGATCATTTTTAATTAGTTCTCGAACTTTTTCAATGTTTTTTTTTCACCTCTGCATGTTGAAGGTCTCCCGCTGCATTCGTCATCCTCCAACATCTCATGTCCGTTTTTAAACCTGCCAAACCAGTCGTATACTGCAAATTTCTTCAGTGCCTTATTACCGTAAACTTGCTACAGGGGTGACAGCATCTCTGCAACAGTTTTCCCCAATTTGCACATGTAATTGATGTTTGTACGCTGCTCGAACTGGGACATGCGCCGAATGATAAGCAGTCACGTCTAACAAGTCTAAAAACTTGCACGAGCAAATTGCACTCACGCTGCAAAAGGACATGCTGAGCTTCCCGCCAAAGCAATGCATAATTTTATCTTGTATTACATTTTCTAACTGTAGGTAAATTAAGGTAACTTTTTGACTGCCTCTCGTATATTAAATGTGACAGTGCGCGAAGCGCCCCCTCATGCTTTGGCACCACTAGACCGAAAGGTCGACATCGCGTCGGCGAAGACTGCAATGACAAGTTTATCAGGACTGACCACTGTGTTTTTAGGGTAGACACAGAAACCTAAATGGCCGCAATTTCGTCTTGTTCGCGCGAGCGGTCGCGTTTGTAGGCGCTTAGATCCGACACGAGAGATGGAACGGATTGAGGGAGTGCACCAAACACAAATTAAACAATAACAATTTCTGTTTATTAAGCTAATTACACAAAAGATTAACATTTAAAGTAAAGGTTGAGTTTACGACTTAACCGATTTAAAAATTCGCGTTCTACGTTGAGAGAGAGAACTTACATATAAGGTTCTATATACCTGTTCAGGAATCTATCTGAGATGAATCGAAGGACTGTTGGTGTTCACTTAAATGGAGTTCTCTTGGATGGAAGGAGTTCATTTTCGAGGGTGTCAGTTTAAAGGAGTTCACTTTGAAGAAGTCATTGTATGCTTTACAATGACTTCTTCAAAGTGAACTCCTTTAAACTGACACCCTCGAAAATGAACTCCTTCCATCCAAGAGAACTCCATTTAAGTGAACACCAACAGTCCTTCGATTCATCTCAGATAGATTCCTGAACAGGTATATAGAACCTTATATGTAAGTTCTCTCTCTCAACGTAGAACGCGAATTTTTCAAGTTCACTTATTCAAGTTCAAGGTGTTCACTCTAGATGGATGTCAACTTGGACATAAATTATTAATAGGACTGTCCTATTAATAATTTATGTCCAAGTTGACAAATATAATAAGAATCATTCGTTCTATCGTTATCCTCTAAACCCAATTTAACGGCACTATTCCCTTATTCTTTATGTTCTAATCTTATTAAATTTTAATGCAAATTGTCGCATATTATATTTATTTTAGTGTTTGAAAAACACATCAAAATAAACCCGAAATCGAATCATAAACGACTAAAGAGAATCAATGTAATCAGCAAATTCCACGATATCTGTTTAGTTTTTCCACATTATTGATTCCTTTAGATAGCAATATGAAATGACTCATTTCATTTAAATTCTTTCTGTAATGATCTTTTAAATATACCTGAAAATAAATCTTGAAGGCTCATCGTTTTACTATTCTGTCCAACATATACAAATTGAATCAAGGCTAAGAAAGGAATATCGTTTCTATTATTTAATAATTGTAGATAGGAATTTCTTTGGCTATGTAAACGCTATAATTACCATAAATATTAGAAATTAATTAATTTGACTAGAGGTAGGCAGTTAAGCTGCCGTCTCGTGTTAAATTTAATAATTATGAATAATTAATTTTTAATTTAGACATTTCTGGAAATTAATTTGAAATTGGTCATTAAATTTTCCTCTACTCGTCACTCGTTATGCGAAACATCGCTGGTTAAGCGAGTCATTTTTACAATATGTTTTGTTTGTTATGCGAGGTGTTTGTTAAGCGAGGTTTCACTGTAATTACTTGTAAATGTACTAAGGAAATCGGTCTTCGGGATCTACGGATACTATCATATTAAAAATGTTATAGGAAAAGTTTACATCCTAAAGGAAAGTAACATTTTCCACGTTTGAAAATTTATAAAATTTTAATTTAATTCATACAAATTTTAAGAAACAAAAAGTAAATTTTAAGTGTATATCAGTACATAAAAGTTATAACGGTTTAATAAGAATAAAATTTATTTAGGCTGAAGGAAAGTAAATGCAAACGATGCTTACCACACTTCTTCATATAAAAACATTTCAATAATTAGTTCATTACATATAATTAGTTCTATACATAATATAATCTCGTCATAATATAGAATCGCGGATAATATCATCTGAGATTCGTCAACAAATTATCGTTACGTCAACAAATATCATACGTTGTGTTACTTCATAAAAAGTAAATTTTCCAGATGAACTCGGTAAAGCGCATTCTGAAATACAGCAAATTGAAATCAGAAGCCTCGTACGAAAGTTCACCCGATAAACGACCCCCCGCAGACTGGCCACAAAAAGGAGAAATTCATTTCGATAATGTTTCTTTACAATACTCCAAGGATAAAAACATCGTTTTAATGAATTTATCTTTCCGTATTCATTCTGGAGAAAAGGTAAAATATTTGCAAACTAGAAGAGTATTGTTAGTAATTACTGTTTAAAATAGTTTTTTTATTTACTAATTGCAGATAGGAATTGTTGGAAGAACAGGAGCAGGAAAGAGTTCTATAATTGCTTCGTTATTTCGCATGACAGAGCCAACGGGAACAATCACCATCGATGGAGTCGACACTAAGAAAATCGGTCTTCGGGATCTACGTAGTAAAATATCAATCATTCCTCAAGTAAATAAACACTAATATGGTCAACATATCAACATAATTCCTAGTTAATAANGGGTGATAGTCTCCTGGTGAAGCTGCACCTTATCGTGCTGAAGTGAAACCTTGATGAAATTACATCGTGCACATTACCACAGTACCACATTAGCCATCGTTTTCACGATGGCTAATGTGGTATGTTGTTAATGTGGTGAGGATGATTTTATATTTAATCATCAAATTACTGTTATAATAAGGTAGGATTTGCACCATAGATGTATCAAAAGTTTATTTTAAATTTTCCTTCTTTTTATCGTCTAGCGTATGATACAGAAGTGAAAGTTTTCATTCTCATATTGCTGATTTTCGTGAAAAATCTAAGCACAAAATTGTTTTATATTTTTGTCACGCTGCGATACATAACAAGACACGCTGCCTCGAGCAAACACAGCGGTCTCTTTCACATTAGGAGAAGTTGCATATTGTCGAAAAACAAGAAAAAGCAGAAAATATAAGAAATGATATTGTTGTAAAGATAAACTGTACATACCTTAAATTAATATTGTGTGGAATCATACTTAGTATGCTTGCAATAGTTATGCCTATGCAATTTCCTTTCAATTTTTTCTTACGAACAGGCTTGTGGCTTCTGTGATGCGCCATATTTTTTCTGAAAACGTATTTGTACATTGCAAAGAGCTTACAGTTTAAGTGTTACTAGTTGAAAACTTAAGAATGATAGAGATTTTTTAGGTGTTTTCCAAGTTTCACGTAAAAAAAACATTTCTCGAGGAGAGTCGAAATCACTGAACGGCTAAGTTTTAACAGACATGATAATCATTTGGTGCAAGACAAAGGTTTTCTCGGGATATTAAGCTAATTACAGAATCAAAAGTAATGAAATCATTTCCGGGACAATTCAAATTTCGAACAGTGAGATATGGTAACTTCCTTCTGAATTAATTGAAGTTCAAACGTATTGAAAATGTTTGAATAAAATTAATGAAAAGAGATAATCACAACATCGCATATTTGTTACTGAAATTCGCATCGTGTGTATTATAGGCTAATTATTGAAATAACGTACTTTAATATTTAGCCTACTTTTTCCTAACTGTAACGCACGTTATTTAATATAAAAATGAATTGTAAAATTCAAGTAACTAATACAGCGTATGCATATGTTTTAGGATCCGATGTTGTTTACCGGTCCTCTTCGAAGAAACATCGATCCTTTCAATGAATATTCGGAAGAAACGCTGTGGAAAGTCATAGAAGAGGTTAGAATTAAATAAATATTTCAATTCGCTCTCTGATTTTCATTCTAATTCTTTCAATGATTAAACTTATTTATCTTGTATTTACTTTCAAAAACATCCGAATTAAAGGTACAGTTAAAAGAAGTTATTAGTAAATTACCTGGAGGATTGGATACACATTTAACAGAAGGAGGGCGAAATTTCAGCGTGGGAGAAAGACAGTTAATTTGTCTGGCCAGAACCATTCTTCGCCAGAATAAAATTCTCGTCATGGACGAAGCAACGTCCAACATTGATAAAAAGTTAGAATACATGAAATAGAAAATATTATCTAATTTTAAACATAAGTTATTTTTGTTTGTAATTTGTGTTGCGTATAAATTATTATAACTTTTTCCAAACTGTTAGATATTTGCGCTACTCACTTTGTATTTCGGTTTGTAATTTTTTCAACTACAGTATTATTGTTAATGAAATATAGACTTATTTTACTCATAATACTTTCCAAATTTAACATTTATATCATAAAATTAAGCATAAATATCTGTCAACCGAGTCGTAATATATCATTTCCCATCTTTAACATGTAAAACGGTAGTAAAGTTTCCTAGCGTAGATGAAGTCGTTGTAAGATTGCTGGATATTCAGATTGATATTAAGCCAGTATTAAGATGCCCGATTTGCAGAGTGCTTAAATTTACACGCTCTAGGAATCTGCAATGAAACATAATGTGCAATAAGTCCAAAATATTGAATGCAATTTCAATGAAGAAACAGGTAATTTCGTATAACTGTTACAGATCCTACACTGATGTACAGGAAAAAATATAGAGGAATGTGCAAAACCAAACACTTATATACAGTTTGTTACAGTGTAACAGGTTGGACTTAACATTCGTGTTGGTCACGTGCTACCAATCACATTAACGATATAGAACGTCAATTATACACTTGCGAATTAACTGAATATATTATTTGTTTATTTTAAATAATATATTTTTTGTATGAATTATAATTACTATATTATTTTTAATTTATTTTTATAATAGACGGCTCTATATGTAAAGCTAGTAAGTCGGTCGTAGGTAGAAATCTACGTAAATAATCTAGATGGGTTGATGATGATGATAACAATAATAATAATAATAAACGCAGAGCCTAAACAATTAGGAGTTGGAAGTTGAAATTGGTGCACAGTTAGAATACATTATGAGAATGTACACTAAGAAGGGATTTTTCGAAATATTCCCCCGCGGGGGGAGAGGGAGAGGATTATAGATTACCCTGAAGAACTCGGCTTCTACTGTACTATTATAGATGCGGTTTTTTGCGTTTTTGTGGAAAATCGAACGTGTTTTTAGACTTTCTAATAATTTTTTAATTAGTCCAATTAGTCTCGGAACAGGGTGAACTTAATTTTTGCACCCGTGAAAACGGGTAAGATTGGCTATAATCTAATAATCTTAATTGTCGCTAACGTTACTTTTTGTCCAAGCAACACCCGCTCATCTGCTAGTTAATTGATATTTGTAGAGATTAATTCAATATTATCGGTTGATTTGTACGAAATTATTTAAGCTACTAGTATGTTAACGTAATGCCGAGTTTCGTAGCAATTGGTAGAACGGTCTAGGAGTGCATAGCGAACACAATCATTTCTCTTTATATATAAGTTATCGTTTTATGACTAGTATCGAATTAAGACGTAAATAACTGATCAGTTTATGTTAATTGGTGTTTTGCTGTGTAAAGATAAACTGTTGAATGCATGTATTTCAACAGAAGGTTTTCATTTCCTGTTGTCTATAGGAGGTGTTTGTAATTTGACGTCTACTGTCTGCAGTGTCGTCTTCGTGTTTACTTTGTTTTGTTTTTCTTCCTCTTCTGAGACTGTCTGCATGGTACGCACTGAAGTTCTGGTGGCTTTGTTAGTTGTAGAGCATTATCTTTGTCGCTTGTAGTTTTAGCTTAAGCAATCAGGAAAAGAAGACACGTCATAGTTACTTTAGAAACAGAGTGGTGGATGAAACCGCCTTGTTTTTCAAAACACCCATACAAGGAAAACCACTTTTGGCAAGTTAACTAATTTGTAACATGTGTTAATAACATGTGTAACTAATTTGTGGTAATAGAAATCATATTAAATGCCTTTGTTATTAACCAGATCTTATAGAAGAGTAACTGTATTTGCTTACATGCTGTAAGGAAATATATTAGTTACTCTTCTATAAGATCTGGTTAATAACAAAGGCATTTAATAAATGCATTTTTAAATATCTGAGACTACTATATTCGATGAGGTGTTCGAAGAGTGTTTATTATTGTGCTCTACGGTACATTCCAGAGTTATTAAAGATCAATATATGGTAGTTCTGCAGAGTTACGTGGCACCCCTAAGAGAAAGCCGCGCTGCCCTAGGGAGCAATGTTCCCTCTAAGCTGCGCGGCTGCGCAGCCGCGCAGCTTAGAGGGAACATTGCTAGGGAACCGCGGCGCACCCTTTGGGAACCGCTGGTCTAGTGTCTTTTGAAAAGCGCTTCATTGTGCAATACAGATGTGAGAAGCCGCGTTCAATAGGAACGATCTATCAGTTATCGGCGACAAGTCGGTAAGACTCGCTCACTCTGTCATTGGATGAAAATAATGATAAATTTAAAAGTTACCGTAAGTCCTAAGATCTTCCCGGTCTTTTCTTTACACCAGGTAAGAAAGGCAATTCACACCAGGTAATGGTAATTACCTCACGATATTAAAGTTTTATTAAAATAATTCCGAGGCGGAGAGACTTGGGTTCTTATGATAAAACATTCGGCGTATAAATCATTTGAAACGAATCCAATTTAAATATTAAAACAAAATAAAATTTAATGAGCTTTTCAGTGAGAGTTTACCATAATATTCTCACACTATGCTACAGTTTGATGTGAGCTCCATGAAATAATGCATTTTCCTATGAGATGTTTATTTGTTTCGTCCTGTTCTTGTTGACTGGTTGTAGGATTTGTCAGATTCACAGCACACTTGGAACATAAAATTCTTTGAGCGATTTCAATTCCAGATAATTCTGCCTCATAAAATGCAGAAATTTGACTTTTCTTCAAATCAATCAGAAGTATATATCCTCAGCATCGTCTGTCTAATAAAAAAGCCTAAATAATAAATCTAACCTCTACATATGGTATTCAATACTCAACTTAGCCCAAACGGAAATTGGTTGCAGTAAGTACACTGCATGGAAATATATAGTCAAAAAGTTTTTTATGAACTCCTAATTTATGCCTTAGTTTACAATTTCATATTTATGAATATACCTTAATATCTCTTAATGTTAATGTTTGTTTAAGGTACTATTACTGGATTTTTATTTTTATTATTATATCTGATTTGGTTTTTCTTTTATATATTTATATTTATACATATATAGTTTTTCTGTTCTTTTCTTATTTTCTGTTCTTATTAATTTTTGTATTGAAATTTACGTATTCTATTTTGGAACGCCGTGTTCTGGTTTAACCTGAGGATGGCCTATTGAATAGGCTGAAAACGTTAGTTTGATATAATAAATTAACTCGGCAACATAAGGTGTGTTTTGATAGTCTAATAATTATTTGCACAGTACATTCCGTTAATTCCAGTATATACAGTAAGTATGGTTCGTTCGTATTATGCTAGTGTAACTATAAACTTTTGTCTAGTGTGCAATGCCTTTATAGCAACAGCAGTTTTATACTGCAGTTATAACAGCAGTTTTATATAGTGGTATTAATATTTTCAATTATGACGTATATTTTATTTTCTATCAAGAACCGATTCCTGTCTACAGAAAATAATTCGAGAGAGATTCAAATCTTGTACAGTGTTGAAAATAGCCCACAGATTAAACACAATTATCGATTCGGATAGAGTTATGGTAAGATTTTTTTTAATAATATAAAAATAAATACGTGTTAGAAATTAAACATTTTAAATTTTCAGGTACTAGATGTAGGAAAATTACAAGAATTTGACTCGCCGTATGCATTACTGAAGAACGTAAACGGTACTTTTTATAATTTGGTAAAAAAGACAGGAAAAACTTCAATGAATGAGTTATTCAAAATTGCCAAAGAGAAATATTACGCTAAAGAAAGGATTGAACAAACGAAACTATAAAACCGTGGATTGTCTTCAATGTATATTCATTTGTAGATCTGGTATTATGTTTTTTATTTAATCCTGTTCAAAGAGACATTGTGTCAAGAAGTATTTCCGCACATGAAGTAAAACAGAAAATTAGAAATGTCTAAACATTTGTGAGTTCAACTATTAAATTCATCTATGATAAACATTACTGAAATGTAATCAGAAGGTTTTTTTAGATAATATATTTTAGAAATATTTACAATGGTTTAATGCCGAAATGAACTGAATCTTAAAATATGAAAGAATAGTTAAAAAGTTAAAGAACAGACTTTAATTGAAATAATTTAATACAACTTTTGTTTATGAATTTCATTAGGTAAATCTTAATCCAAAATATAATTCAATATTAAATATGTATTCTGGCAGAAATTTGCTTTACCGTAATAAGTAAAAATAGAATTAAACTGTTCTGAATGTTTTTGCATTCGTATTATTTTTGTTTCTGTGTCTAATATTTAATCGACGTATTATCGAAAATAGTGTTTAATTTATTTTATTGAGTTGTTGTGTGTGCGTGTGAGAAAATAGAAAGTTCTTTATTTTGCAATAAAGTCGATAATTACTATTTTCTAAATCACCAAAATGTAATTAATATTTCGCGAAACAATAATTTATGAAATTATACAGGTGTCCCACAAAGAACAAATGAATTTAATTATTGAATGTTTCTTATTGGAAAAAAATTAACAAATGAGACAAATAAAATCACACAAAAGTCTGAAAACTTAGTGTTTTTCAAAATACTACTTTATGCAAACTCGAACAATATTCTGGTAGCCCAATGGTATTGAATTGGTTGTACCTGTACATATGATACATTGCATTTAAAATACGTTAGACAATATTCTTATTTAGTCCTCAGAATCAGAAAGATTATTTGGTCAGTTAGAAGTCAAAGGAGTTAATTTGACTAATTTTGGTTTTTGAATGTTACTTATACGATAAGGATAATCAAATAATGCCTGAAATAATGTGACTTTTTCTAGCTTTTTATTGAAGCTCTGCGAGCAAGCTTCCTTGTCATCAACTCTGTGACAAATGACCGAAACAAATAAATAGCTGCTCTCGGTTGCTTTCCAGTTTTCTAGTTTACACTTTGTTTACCAAAGTTTACGACGTGCAGGATCTTTTGGAAAAACTTTCATAAAAAATCCTTTCTTGCTGCGATTTGTGCAGCCGAAAGTGGCACATTCAGTCATACTCTAAAAATTATTAAAGTGTAAATTAAGTTAAACTAAACAATAATTTCGTACTTAACTAACAAATATCAGTATGCATATATAACAACACGCATAAAACTCAAAAACTTAAGATCAATATATCGTCATTCGAAATACTGTATTGTCTATATATTCTTAATATCACTAACTTTCGAATAATTTTAATTTGAATAATTAATTGTTTGTAAAAACGTAGAGACGATAAATTTATTCACGAAGTTTTCGTTCCAATCTCGCTAACACGTTGTTTGGAAGAATAATGCGTTCCTTATATGGCTACTCTTTTATTATAGGCTCTCTAAACACTGAGTCGTGTTTTATTACGTATAATGTTTTAATCATCCAACTATCAAATCAGCAACTTAGGAATTCACTTATTGATATACCTGTACTTTTTCAAAGTTAAAATAAGACTATCAGACTGCTCAAAAATATAATATCACATTAGTAATTTATTAGCAGACTATTAAATTATAAAATAAGACTATTAGCAGACTATTTATTAGCAGACTATTATTTAGCAGACTATTAAAATATTTTATACTTTTTTGATGCCATCGATGGAGTCGACACTAAGAAAATCGGTCTTCGGGATCTACGTAGTAAAATATCAATCATTCCTCAAGTAAATAAACACTAATATGGTCAACATATCAACATAATTCCTAGTTAATAATTTTTATATTTATTTATTATAATTTTTTTTCCTTTCATTTCTGTCCCGGATACATCGATTCTTTTTTTTTGTGGACTTCTCTATTGTGGGCCTCACAGGGGCTTTATTTGAACTCTATTATGACGCCTGTTTCTTCTAACAAGAAAAAAAAGAGTAAAAATATTTAATATTGTAGAAATCATGTGTCTGTCGATATATATAAATATGACCTTAGGATCGGCATCGCGTCGACGATGCCTACATCAGGACTGATACCGTTATGGCCGGTTGTTTCTTCACGCGACCGTGAAGAAACAACCGGCCATGTATGTAAGTGATCGGATTCCAGATGGAAGAAGTAGCAAGAACGAAAACAATGCACTCTACCACATATTTAACAAAATAAATGCCCGTTTATTTATATAAACATTTTAAATCTTTGGCCGTGGTTGAGAATTATTATAAGAGTCTACTTGATCGAGGAAGAGAGTTTACAANGGGAATAATCCGTATAAACTATGCTATAAACAAAAAATTGTAGGATTACTTACCGAGTATGCACCGTTCGACGTCGCCATTGCTCAAGCTTGTTTTTGTCGCGGAGCAGCGCACCAAACGGCGGACCATTTCTGATAAGTTATTTTTCTGCGAAAAATTCGTTGAACTTTGGAGACATCATTAATAGAAATAATTTTTATGACCGTTGAATAAGAAATGTTTTTTCACAAGAAATGTATAAAATTACATGCTCGAGTCTTCTTGATTATACAGTATCTTTCTTAGATAAGATTGAACTCTGCCTACTGTAGACCTGTTCAAGTCATACTGCCCAGCAACATCAGACATCTTCTGTCCACTCTCTACCTTTGCTACTATACTCTCACCTTTTGAAAATAAAAACACGCAAAACTTAACGAGCGTCCGCCTGACAGTCTCGCGAATACCATAAAAGATTTGTTTCTGTCAGAAAAATAAAAGGCTGGAATTACAAGGAGAGTTTCAAAGTTCGGAGGAATACTATCTGATCAGTATAGCTCCGAAAAGTTTCGAATCATTGCACGAAGACGAGGGAAATCAATCGGTATTTGCTATTTCTTGTAGCTTCTTTTAATGTTTCTTCAGTGAAGTGTTCGTTATCCGAACATGTGTTCGTTGTCCGACCATAAAGATCTTTCCCGAAAGTGTTCGTTATCCGATTTGTTCGTTAACCGATCACCTACTGTATTCATATTTTAATATATTTGCCGTTACTATTTAATTCTGTTACATATTTATGTTGTAAGTTTACATAATTTAATTTATTTTTAGGAATTATTAAAGTATTGAATATTTATTCATATACGAAGATTGAAAAATATGTAATGATCACTAATTTATTACAAAGAAAAGCTTAGAAGTACAACTGTGCACAGTTTATAGTCCTTGAATGTATAAACATGATTAACACCAGAGTTGTTAATCATGTTCCCATTGATGTGAAAGTTGGTCAATACGGTTAGCAGCCTGATTTCTGTTGACAGCTACTACAGAGCGGTCTATTGTCTATATGAGTCCTAGATGATCTTGAAACGAATTTCTTCATTTTACAGAAAAATTAGTCGCATGGAATCTTGAGAGAATGGAGGGTGGTCCAACCCCATCTATCGAACAGATCTTCACTAAGGCAGGCACATGGAAAAGTTCATGCAAAAAATGAATGGTGAATTCTTCAGAAAATGGCAAGGTTTCTTACGTAGCACTGATCGTAGATTGTGTTTTAAGAAGTGAACATAGTAATGTGTTTGCATAGTAATGTCACGGTTTCTCCTGGTGGCACTACGTGCGTTAGGATAAGACCTTCATATTTGAACGCGGCAAAGATCATGGTCTTGAAGTTAGTAGGGTTCTGCCGAAATTTCTTTTCTCGTTGGGATCCACAATGTCGCCACTAGTGAACTGGCATTTAATTGCGGATCGTAGGACCGAACCCGTATTTACCCATCGAGATACGACTCTTCGCATACACAGTTCTTCCCGCAGAATGTTTGACCTAGGATGGTCGACCTAGTTTACGAATTGTTCACAGCATTTTCCAACAATGCGGCCGCAGCTTGCACCTGTCTTTCTGTAACACTATGAAAACGTTTGAGGTGATGCTTATCACCCGGCCACGATACATGAGAAAAATGTTATCAGAAAACAGATGAGGCTCATCGTCTGTTTTTAATGATCTTCTGTGAATACTGTATTGCCAATTTTACAGCCTATTTCGGGCTCACACTTAATATTTAGGAATGCACTAAAAGAAAATAGTACGTATTTCTCATGTTCTGCAACTTTGCAGCTGACAATATCGTATCTTTATCACTGACAATTTGTAGCTCCTTACGATTTAACCTCCTGTGACCATACTGTATATATCTAGCCACAAAAGTATATCTTAAATCGGAACAGTTTCTTGTGACAGATTCAATAACATTAGACTGAAATTAATATTTTCAAAGTAGAGTAAAGTCTCATAAGATAGGGAAAGAAAAGAACAATTTAGTTAAAACTTTTCTTTACCTTTAATTCAAAGCACTTAGATTTGAAGACACGTCATATCTTCAATTATAAATGCTTTGATGCATAATATCTTCGTTCATTCGACGAGTGGATGGAATTACAAAATCAAAGTTTTGAGTAAACGATGTTCAAGTTTTTACTACGTAATTAATTCAGTGTAAATTCATTTAGGAAATAGTCTATCGCAGAGAGTATTACATTGCCGTTTAATTTTTGAGAACTTTGATGATGGTATTTGAGAGATGAATACTGCACCTTAAAATGTGGGGGACATTCAGGTTTTGAACGATTGTAACAAAATACATTCATCAACTCGTATCTTAAACTGTTTATTTTGCTTAGTTATTTTATTAATAAATAAGACAAATGTACTTTATTTCTTCATCAAATACTATTCAACATATTTTTGAGTCGTATTATTGTGACATATTATAACTTAAATAGGTTTCATATACATAATTCTTTTTACTTAAATTCCATTTAAAAAATTTTAGATTCAACAGGATGATTTTGTACAGTTGTTTATGGGGATGACGATCCAAAATAAAATGACAATAGTGGTGAGTATTCCTGTCATGAGTATAGTAAAAGATAAAACAAACGTTTAATATAATTTTTATTACGTTAATTATACAAGTGTTTTAAGAAGATTTGCTTTAAGCACCTTCTGCCAACATTCATACCATTTGTCAAAGCAGTAGAGTACTACAAGCCATTTTTTGTAATGTTGCTAATGGTTCTAATAGTTGCAGCTTTGATCTGTCATTTTTCATTAGCAAATATCTGATCAAGTAGGGCATAACAGCGCTGTTCCATTCTTATTTTTTAATTTTACTATGACAGACTTATAATTTCCTTAAAATGAAAGACAAGCTAGAGGGATGAAAATTTCAATGAGAAGCAATGTCGAAAAATTCGATTTTAAGTCTGCTAGGCAGGAATTAAATGTAAACAGGTATTATATTATATTATTATTATTTTCTAAATTACGCTAATCAATGTGTTGAAAATAACAGAAGAAAGAGCATTTTTCCATTATTACACTTTGTAAGCATTAAGATGGGTATCAACAGCATAACTATTGATAGTAGTGATGTAACGAATATTCGGTTACTATTCGGTATTCGGCCTATTCGGCCGATTTTTCACTATTCGGCCGAATACCGAATACCTAAAAACAGGAGTAATAAATAACAAAAACACAGTAAATTAGTCATTTTGGTATTTAGATTTAATGTTATCGAGTTAGTGTTGTTTGTTTATATTTATTTATAACGTGTAACATGCACAAAATAAAATAGAAAATAATATTAGTCACATGTATTCACAATTTATAATTACAAAGATAAGCACACGTACACGTCTATTCGTTCGAGAATTGTCGCACATCTGAGGGTCTGACCCTGCCTATCCTTCTTTTTAAACGCTCGTCTTTGCTCTTCCCTTTCTCTTACCTCTATCGCTGTAATCCATGTATGCCTGTGCATACATCATAATACGCGCTCACAATACTTTCGATTCGTCACTTTTCCGTCGTAGAGTTCCCATTTTACAATTACGTGACTAAGCTTGGTGATAACGGAGAAAAGAGACAGATAGGACGTCGATATAAGTCACAGTTATGATTTCACAGATTCGAGACAGCTTGCTAGCCCGAACGGCCCCAGGCTTTCGCCCATGCACGCTAAGTGACTTTCATTACAAGTATTTAGCTTTCCGAAGTCTATGATAGCAATTGTTTGGCATTGACGGGCGCGAATTTCGTGCCAATAAGCTGCCTCGACTTGTTCGATTATGTTATCAACTCAATTTCATATTTATTTTCACATATTCACTTCGCGGTCCTTCTCTGTTCTTTTTCCGTTATTTACACGTGTAGGTCATTTGATATCATCATTTATCACATACTTCCATGACACTCTTGTCTGTCGGCTACAACTGTCAAGAATTAACGCGATTGGCGAAGCGTAGTGACAGCGGGCTAATAGAGAGCAGGGTCCTTGCCATAATGCGGTTTGCGCGCCAATTTTCGTACGTGCGTTAATCAAGCCGAATAGTTTGGCAGAATATTCGGCTATTCGGCCACGCTCCTGGCCGAATATACTATTCGTTACAACACTAATTGATAGTTTAAAAAGTTATCGATAGATCTATAATTATTAATCGATATATTATCTATCAAAGTATTTAAATATAATAAACGTCTTCTGTTCGCAATTTTCCGGAAATTTTTGATTAAAGGCGAAAGATGATAAACGAAAAAAAAATAATAATCAGTGCTTTGTTTTTCTTTTTTCCATGTAAACAGATATATCGATAAGATGATCGCGTCGCTGTCATCTATTTTTGATTTAATCTCCTTTCTTTTTAGCAGATAGCGTACAAATGAAGTGCGAATCTCGTAGTGGATATCAACCGTGAGAATCGCGCGGAAGTCACGTGATTATGTATTGGCCTTCTAGCTGAGATCGCTCATGTGCCTTAAGTGTTGTTGTTGAATTAAAGAGAACAAGAAACAAAAAATTGGTTTCATTACATACTTCGTTTGTAAATATTTAATGCTGTTTTAGTTTTAAATGATTGTCCCAATGACCGGTTACTCAATATTTACCATTAATGAGGATCTGTCATAATACTGTATATTATTTACAAACACGAATAAATTGAATTTATTTTAAATTATTCCCTATATTAGTGATGGCGAACCTGTGATTCCCGGATCATTGCCTTACCACTGCGACGATTTCTACGTATTCACATTGAATGTTTAGAAAGTATTAGGTTTTTATAAATTATTTTAAAAGTAATTCATAGATTTCAAAACTTGCATAATTATTTAGTGTGAAGACGAGATCGTAAAGAGGTCGCGACAAATCTTAAAGTCCACTGATTATTAACCAAAGATAGAAAAATAATCGTTAAATAAACAACAGATGTTTCATTAACCGAAGGCTATGTTTCTGTAGTTTGCCATCACTGCTCTGTATTATATGACATAAATAAAAATTTTAATAGTCAATTTGTTATTAAATAATAAGAAAACTTCTAACTGGAGCTACATAAAATAACACTTTAAAGAATCTAGATTTCAGTTGGTTATCAAGCTACAACAAACTCGAATTTAATATAGAATTATATAAATAAGTAATTAATTCATACGATTTATATTTAAATTTGCATAAATTCACTATAACAAGACAAAAAATTTATTTTTATGCTTCTGTTGAACATTCACGTAGATGAAAAAAAATTAAGTTTACGAGTGGTAAATTTTCACTCTTTTAAAATAATTATTTTCTAAATAAAAATGTTATCCTTTTAAAATGATATTTCATTATTTAAAAAGTTTGTTATTATTAGACATTTGTTTGTTTATTTATGATACACTAATTTAACAACAAAATCATTTACGCAACAACCAAATAAAATTGTTATGATTTTATATGTAAATATATTGAATTAATACTATTATACCGGTTTAAGAAAATTTAATTGCATTCTAAATTATATGAATTCAAAATACAAATAATTTTCTTTAAAAGCAATAAAAAAATTCGTTTATTACTAAGGGATTCTTTACTTTTTAATGAAATTTAATATTTAAAAAATTTTTTTACAGTTATTTTAATATAAAGTAGGTCTGCTTACATAATTTTAATACGATGTTTAAAAATACTTTAATTGGATTTCATAATCGGTTTCAAAGACTCAGAGTTCAAAGATTTCAAAGAGTTCTAGATCATATTTATGTTTCTAGAGTTTGGCATTATCACTTCATATTTTATATACATTTCAGTAATTAGATACATTAAATGTATTTCTTCATAAATATATTACTATTTCTCATCATTCCTTTTCTCTTCTGGTACAGGTAAGTAGTTACTGAAATAATAACTTGATTAAAATTCTGGGAGAAGTTTTAAGCTTTTTTAAATATTAAATTACTAAGTAAAAATATTAATATAATTATGATAATGTGGGATATTTAAAAATTGAGTGTTTTAAAAATCAAGTTTTGAAAATTATTTAGAAAATGTTTAGAAAATAATTTTTAAATTATTTTTAATATTCTGTAATTCCATACCTTTTGGTTACGCGAATATTAATTTTTATGAGTGAAAACATTCTTTCTTCCTCGGGATTGCAATATTGAACTACAAGTAACAAATTGAGATATTTATAGAGCTCTAGGCTACTACTTTTGGGAGACTTACTATTTTTGGGGCCTCTTTAAAAATAATTTCGGCTACATTAAAGGAAATCTGGTTCTATCTATAATAAAGGTTTACATTTTATAAAATCTATCTGGAAAACTGTGAGGTTCTCAGTCCATACATGTTGTTTATCTGCAGTTTATTTATATTATTATTAATAATTATCAATTAACGAAAATAGCGTTTTGTATACGTAGCCGTATTTCGTTTGCTTAATTAATAAATTACATGGCATTTGGCGTATTGAACAGATATTTAAGTATGTAAATCTCGGATAAATTTCTATGGAAATTTTCTATTTAATATTAAGTTGAACTATATTCTAATGTTATGTTTAGTTTTTCCGTAGTAAATTTTTCTTTCCATTCTTAAGTTAGTTTAATTCATTTCGCATTCACCCTCTTAAGAGATTCATTTCTGGACTTCGGAGTGGCTCTTACCTTCGTGCCTTACATATCTGCCGTTTCTTCGGTCTAAATCGAAGGTGTGTCCGATAATACATGCCTGGTGACAGGATCCTACCTTAAACTCTCAGAACTTGATTTTTGACGGCCTCCAAGTCCTCACAAAACCATTGTAATTGTCTTTATCTGATATCTTTAACTGTCATATTTTGATAATCGAGTGCTTCTCTTCTAAATTGAAGTTACATTTTGTATAATTAATATTACTGAACACATCATTTTAAATCCATGGATCAGTTCAAAATATTTATCTTAATTAATCTATTCTCCTATTCGTACAATACTGTTTGCTTGATTATAATGTTATAATTTTCCGCGTTTTAGGAAGTCTATTTTGCTTTCAGATATTAAATAGAATGACTATTGCACTCTAGTCTATTGCTCTATATATTAAGAGTGGCTAACTGCATCTCGAGAATCACACTCATGTTAGTATTCACAACTATGGATCAAGAATTAGAATCAGAAGCTAACAATATTAAAAACAGGACCTCGTCACATTTTAATTTTTTAAAAAAATCTTAAAGAACAATAAAATGTTCAGTTTATGACGTTGGCAATACTGCGGGAATTCTTCAGGGACCGCATAATTTTTTCAAAGTTTGTGGCCACCAAACTTTTCAGACTTGACAACCCCTAATTTCTTTTTGTGGGGACCTGATTCTTGAAGGACCAGAGCGTGCAGTAGTAATCAACATATTCTAGATGAATTGATCATCATTACAGAAAGTAAACAATCTCACAAAATATTCCAGGCGCCTCAACTTGTGTTCTTAGGAAGAAAGACATTTTCAACAACTGTTGTGGCACGATAAAATATTTGACATTAAGTACCCTACATTGCGCATACAACTTCCACTTTCGTACGTTTATTCTAATACGAAGAACAAATTTTAAAAGTTTGAGTTTGGGATCTTTACGCAGATCATCTGTATAGAAACCATGACACAAATGGTAACATTAACTGATAATAACGTAAATTTTGCATCGTAATATAAATGACCTATCATAAATGTTAAATACAGGTTGGCTTATTACGATATGTTTACCCTAATGAATCGTAGCTTTCATCTAACAACAATTATTGACTTTAATTCTTCGAGCAAAGGCACGCAGTTTTATTTTCTCTTTGTCGTCATTTTTGAGGGCGCTAACGGGATCTGTATTAGTTTATTGAATCTTTTACATCAGGTATAGTTTCGAATATTTTGATTCGGATTGTTCTGAGAATTTTGTATTATGTAAATAGGCCTTATTACAGATTTTATAAAAATTTATATACTTTTTAGATGGAGAAAGAAACAATTTTCATGTTTTATCGATTTGGGAATTCCGGGGCCAAAACCGAATTTCTTTTCTGGAAATATGGATGACCTTATTACGAAGGTAGGGTATTACATTCTGGATCTTATATTTGTAACGTACTGTATTATTTTGTACAATATGAAAATAAAACCATTCGTGAATTACCATTTTGTATATTATTATTTGTAAGCCGACAGGTGTGAGCATTCTAATCTGGGTAGAAAATACATCATTCTTAAAATAAGTATTTGGCACAAATATGGTAGATTTTGTTCCGGAATGAAGTTTCGAATAACTCCCGTTAGGTACAGTACCCCCGCATTACTAATATAGAAATATCCTAACTTCCGAGGACAAATTTTCTATTTAATATTAATTTAAACTAAATTCTAATATTATGTTTAGTTTGTCGAAATGCTGATTATGATCGCATGGGATCATGGATAGTTTATAATAGGTTTTTTGCTATTAGTTATATATAATATCACATTACCTAACAACTTCTTTCGATCTATCGCCACATAATGAAGATTTATTTATGTGTGACCCAAGTGCAAGCAAGGTGTTTGACAATTAGTGCACAAATTTACAAATAAAATATAAATATAAATGTTTTTATAGAAAAGTAGTAACTTATTTCACCTATCGCCACATTACCTCTACCTGTCACCATATTACTAAGTTCTGATTACCAAAAGATTTGTTGTGTATAGTATTTATGCCAAATATGTTATGTCATAAATAAGAAAGTATTATGATAGGGCAGACATAAAGCTTTTTACGGGATATTATCACTTTTTTTATTCATGTTAGTAATAATTTAGCATTTCAGTCAAGAAAAAATCTATTACCAAGTAATAATAAATTTTACCAAACCTTTTTTTATACGTATATTCATTCTCTTTCTGAGATTAAAATTTTTATTAAAAAAAACCGAAATAATTCTCAAAAATACAAGTAACATTATAATTTTTAAAATAATTTCCTTATAAAAAAGTTTTTATAGTTGGCAATATTACGGATGCTTTAAAGTTATACTGTATTATCCATAACTCATAACAACACAATATAAAACACAAAACAACATACACACTACGGTAAAGAGTATGTTTTATTTTAATTTTAATTTAATAGAATTTTCTTTTTATGCAAAATATATTTTTTAAAATATATTAAAATTTTTATTTTTCTATACAAATTTTATTTCTCCAATATACAGTACTTTATTGTAAATTTTAATGTTTTAGAAAAATCTTTAAAGAATTAATATGGATATAAAAATTTATATATGGTATAAAAATAAAAGATATATAAATTTAAATAATTAATAAACGCACTTGATTTATTTTTTTAATCTTTTTTCAGCAAAATAGTGGAGAAAAAATTGTAAAATAGTTATTATGAAATTTTAATTTTGCCTGAAATTATTAGTTCCAACAGGTTTAATTTTTTTACCGTTATAATTACAGTAAAGTATTTATGGATATTCAGTAATTTAGAAGTAAAGAATAACTGTACAATTATAGTATTTTTCACAATAAAATTTATCAATTAAAATATCTTTTCAAAGTCAAAAAGAAGAAAATATCAGTTTGAAATAAATTTTGCACTTTCATGTTCTATTGAATAATTTTTCTATTTAAATAATTTTCTTTTATTAACTCTATATTACATAAAATACGTAACTGTTTAAATTTCATAATTATCTTTTTATTTGTCAGAACTTTCTTCCTCTAAACTATTTTTATTTTCAGATATTTCATTTTCATTAATATCTATTCTCTGAACTTAACTTGAAATTTATTAACTAATCTTGCAGTTTTATTCTTATTTTTGGCTAATAAAACCAACTAGTTTAATTTGTTTTTGATATTTTTGTGAATAAAATCTACATTAATTAGTCTATAACCATAAATGTAAAATATATTTAAACAAACATAATTATTTGTTTTTCAGGGAGTTGCTAAATGCCATATCGATTGGATTAAGAAATATGGAAATGTTGTCGGGTTAATATTCTTTTTATTATTTCTATGTTTAAAATATAAAAATTTTAATAAATTTCAAACATAACTATGATATTCATAGATATTTTCAGGGCTCCATACCTATCCTACTTGTAGCAGATTTGGAATTTATGAAGAATTTTATGGTCGTCAATTACAAGAATGCTTCTGGCCGAGAGGTATTAATCTATAATTAAACTAATGAATAATTTTTAGTTGTTAATAATAAATTTTGTTTGCTATTTAGTGGTTCATTGAAGATGCTGGAGTGCCAATGAAGACATTCAGAAAATCAGCAGTTGCAGTTGTCGGGGGACCATATTGGAAAGAACTTCGCAATATAATGTCTTCAACTTTCACTAGTAGAAAGTTGAAAGGGGTATTTATATAATAGTCAATTTCTGTAGGCGAATTTTATTTCAAAATATGAATAATCAAAAAATGTTTAATATTAGATTATACCAATATTGGAGAAATCTATTACACGCCTGACAAACAAAATAGAGAAGAAAATAGAAAATAAAGAATATGTTCCAATGAAAACATTATTTAGTGAATATGCTTTCGACCTTACAATGTCAACTATGTTCGGAATAGACGATGATGGATCGGAAATGTACAGAAAGTTTTATAAGGATTCCAAACAACTATCAAATGTACCCTACAACGATATAATTGTAAATTTTGCTTGTAAGTCATGATTTTGTCTTAATAAGATTATTGTTAGTAACTTAATGTTATAATTTCTTAAATTTAGATATATTTAAATACTTAGAAAGACATAGGATTAAATAATAAATTATTACTAGAAATCGTTGATTTTTCCTCTGATTCTAGCTCAGAGAATACAACGCTAGCCAACGCTAATCGAGTTCATATATCAAAAGTATAGAAATACCAGTAATCGGCAAAAGGTTTAGAAACACGTGAATAAAACATTTAAATATGCAAGTAGAAGTGTGATATTAAAACAAGAAGAGTGTTTGCTCGTGTTCTGCAAGTCATTATTTTAAAAATGGGAAAAGTTATCGAATTAACCGCTGAAGAAAAATTAAAGATTGCGGCTTTAAAATAGGATGGATTGACAACACATTCTTTCACTATTTGACTGCTTCCAAAAACGTGTTAAAGAGCTTCTGTTAACGAAACAAGTAGCATATTTTTATTTCTCGACTGAGGTTTACTGAAAAAACAATATTAATTAATATGCATGGCAAAGTTAAATAATTATGTATTTGGATCTATAGGTTGGATGCAAATAACTTCTACCTTAATAAAATATCTTACTCAACTGCTGTGTACTTGAAATAAACAAAGTCACTCGAATTAACTTGGTGTTATTCCATCTATGAATTTTTTTCTTGTTTAGTTGTATCTAATTGATTTAGATGTGAAAGGGAATGATTTTGCGTCAAATTTAAAACTATTCTCTTTGAAATAAAATCTAAATTATTTTAACTTTACATGCTTATTAATTTATATTTCACAATTTCAGTATATTTTCCAGAATTTTCAACTGTTTTTACATTGATAAGAGAAGCGAAGGATAAGATTTCATATTTTTTAGGAAGACCTTCGTGCTTTGGAGCTTATAAGAATTCATTAAGTGTACTTCAACTGAGAAAATCAAATCCTCAAGTTTGTATCTCATTCAATTATAAATTATTTTTATAACAGTGATAAAATGAACGTATTAAATATAGTATTTATGTAAATTTAAAATGTTAAGTACAAGTTCTATTTTATAAATATTAATTTTATTAAAGGTTACAAAATTTTACAAACATTATTTTATTGTAATAATCAAAAAATAATCATTGATGAAATTAATATTTTGAATGGAATTCATCTTAGAAGATATATAGTAGTTATAATTCTTATTCATTTCATATGGAAGTATTTATAATTGTTGCTTATCATGTAATTTAACTAGCACATATATATTAAACAATTTAATTACCTCAATATTCTTAAAAGTTTAGAACTTATACACCAATTATTACTCACAATATATTCTTTTTCTGGTTTTATTATTGTAACGCTTTGTGAGTTTAGCATGTTTCACGTTTCACACCTAATAATTACTTTTTACAATACTAAAATTTCTTTAATCCTTTTTAAATTTATGATTAATACATTACAGAAAAGAAAATATGCAGTAATAGGCTAATAGAGTTACCATGTACTTTACAATTTTAACAATCGTGGAAAAAATTATAGCAAGTTTTAATTTCAAAAAGTAAATTTTCACCCGCAAGTTTTTTATGTCAAGTCCGAGCTATCACAAAGACAAGAAAAAATAATTATAATTTTTATTAGAATTAATCAAAATTATCTAAGAAATTAATAATAAATTGAGATTTAGTTTTCTTGTGTCTTATTTTTACTTTCCCGGCTGTCATACATAACAGAGAGAAAGTATAACGATTGATCGTAAAATGACCATACAAAATTTTATATTTTTGAACTCGGAACCTTGAAACTTCGAGAAATGTAATAAAAAAATTTCGAGTTTTTTTATGTATGGATGTTAGTGTGTGGGGGCACGATTTTGTTTACCCAATTTGAAGCTTTATAACTCCTGTTCCTTTCGTTGAAAATTTCTGAAGTTTTGCAGAGGTTTGTGTATTAGGGAATTGATGCTATTAAGATCAAGAGATGGGGAAGAAAGAAGAGGAACATGTGTTATATCTCGAGGAGGCCGGACTTAATAAAGATTTCACTTGTTATTAGCATTTACAATTTTTTTTCATAAAAGTCGTCTTTGCTTTGAAACAGAGCTGTGGAGTCGGGAAAAATGTGTTGACACCGACTCCGACCCCGGCATTTAAAATTTAATTTAGTTTTTTTATTTAAATGAAAGAAAGTTTATTTTATATTTATTAATTTTTTAAAATCTTTTTGGTTTTTGCTATAATTCATTTATTTTAAATACAAAATGCAAGAATTTAATTTATTAAATATGTAGTTTTCTTTGCAGTATTTGTGTTTAGTAGTTAAATTATTTTGACTCAACTGAATTTGNTCATTGCAAAGATCCACTCAGGTGAACCAAATACTTATCTAACGCTTCAACAATGCATTTCCGAACACCCGTTTATAGATCAAATTTATTCAATGTACCATTCTTCAAACATACGCAAAGATCGGTACTTTTGTCATGAATTACTATATAATTTCATTGTATCTTCTGTTTGCTCATTTATAAAGTAATAATCTTAAAAACAAAATTAGTTATACTTTCAATCTATTTAATATACGGAGTTCAGAGTAGGGTATCCCTATGAGCGCCTCCTCCCCCATAAAATGACTTGGTATTTAATTTTGCCGGAGTCTGAGTCGGAGTCGAGTGTTTTTTACCGACTCCGCAATCCTGCCCTCAAAGTTGTTTTTTGCCATTTTATAATAATTAATTATATAAAAACTTTTTAAATAAGATATCATAACAAATTTCTCACAGGCAGTTTTAAAATAATTATTATTGCCGGGAAAGTTACGCAACTCGTAACTAAAACTTTTTCATTTGAGTTAAGTGATTGTTTGTTAATTTGAAGAGAAGCAATCTTCCCACGGCTTTATAAGACATTACTACTTTTTGAGTAAAATAAATAATATTTTGCTATTGTTTTCAAATTTTTTAATTAAATTTTACATTTCAAAAATACTTTAGATTCAACGGGATGATTTTGTACAACTCTTAATGAATGCTACATACGATAAACAAAAAGAAAATGATAAAACTTGTAAGTCGTTACACCTTTCGTATCGTACTCTTATCATATGGATATAGGCCTATATAATAAATGAAAAAATGTTATATTACTTTTATGAAGGATAAGATTTCATATTTTTTAGGAAGACCTTCGTGCTTTGGAGCTTATAAGAATTCATTAAGTGTACTTCAACTGAGAAAATCAAATCCTCAAGTTTGTATCTCATTCAATTATAAATTATTTTTATAACAGTGATAAAATGAACGTATTAAATATAGTATTTATGTAAATTTAAAATGTTAAGTACAAGTTCTATTTTATAAATATTAATTTTATTAAAGGTTACAAAATTTTACAAACATTATTTTATTGTAATAATCAAAAAATAATCATTGATGAAATTAATATTTTGAATGGAATTCATCTTAGAAGATATATAGTAGTTATAATTCTTATTCATTTCATATGGAAGTATTTATAATTGTTGCTTATCATGTAATTTAACTAGCACATATATATTAAACAATTTAATTACCTCAATATTCTTAAAAGTTTAGAACTTATACACCAATTATTACTCACAATATATTCTTTTTCTGGTTTTATTATTGTAACGCTTTGTGAGTTTAGCATGTTTCACGTTTCACACCTAATAATTACTTTTTACAATACTAAAATTTCTTTAATCCTTTTTAAATTTATGATTAATACATTACAGAAAAGAAAATATGCAGTAATAGGCTAATAGAGTTACCATGTACTTTACAATTTTAACAATCGTGGAAAAAATTATAGCAAGTTTTAATTTCAAAAAGTAAATTTTCACCCGCAAGTTTTTTATGTCAAGTCCGAGCTATCACAAAGACAAGAAAAAATAATTATAATTTTTATTAGAATTAATCAAAATTATCTAAGAAATTAATAATAAATTGAGATTTAGTTTTCTTGTGTCTTATTTTTACTTTCCCGGCTGTCATACATAACAGAGAGAAAGTATAACGATTGATCGTAAAATGACCATACAAAATTTTATATTTTTGAACTCGGAACCTTGAAACTTCGAGAAATGTAATAAAAAAATTTCGAGTTTTTTTATGTATGGATGTTAGTGTGTGGGGGCACGATTTTGTTTACCCAATTTGAAGCTTTATAACTCCTGTTCCTTTCGTTGAAAATTTCTGAAGTTTTGCAGAGGTTTGTGTATTAGGGAATTGATGCTATTAAGATCAAGAGATGGGGAAGAAAGAAGAGGAACATGTGTTATATCTCGAGGAGGCCGGACTTAATAAAGATTTCACTTGTTATTAGCATTTACAATTTTTTTTCATAAAAGTCGTCTTTGCTTTGAAACAGAGCTGTGGAGTCGGGAAAAATGTGTTGACACCGACTCCGACCCCGGCATTTAAAATTTAATTTAGTTTTTTTATTTAAATGAAAGAAAGTTTATTTTATATTTATTAATTTTTTAAAATCTTTTTGGTTTTTGCTATAATTCATTTATTTTAAATACAAAATGCAAGAATTTAATTTATTAAATATGTAGTTTTCTTTGCAGTATTTGTGTTTAGTAGTTAAATTATTTTGACCCAATTGAATTTGAATATTTTTGATTCATTCCTTTATTATCCCTGATCTAAATAAGTATTCTATTTTTTGAATGAGCCAGACTAATTGATCAGCGTATATATTTTTCTTTTCTGAACAAGAAGCTGAAGTAGCTAGATCGCACACTTTTTAGTTGGATTAACTTTTCTGGAAAGGCGAAATTGAAGTATAAATGTTATAGAATAAAGATATGTAGATGTTGAATTTTTCGCCCCCCTTTCTCCTCTTATTAAATATTTGTTAAAAATTAATTTTTTATATAAATAAATATTAATATAAGTTAAATGTTAAAAATACTAACTATAAAAGTATTTGGGTAAATGCCCGGGGCTCCTTTCAGAGTTCAGAGTAGGGTATCCCTATGAGCGCCTCCTCCCCCATAAAATGACTTGGTATTTAATTTTGCCGGAGTCTGAGTCGGAGTCGAGTGTTTTTTACCGACTCCGCAATCCTGCCCTCAAAGTTGTTTTTTGCCATTTTATAATAATTAATTATATAAAAACTTTTTAAATAAGATATCATAACAAATTTCTCACAGGCAGTTTTAAAATAATTATTATTGCCGGGAAAGTTACGCAACTCGTAACTAAAACTTTTTCATTTGAGTTAAGTGATTGTTTGTTAATTTGAAGAGAAGCAATCTTCCCACGGCTTTATAAGACATTACTACTTTTTGAGTAAAATAAATAATATTTTGCTATTGTTTTCAAATTTTTTAATTAAATTTTACATTTCAAAAATACTTTAGATTCAACGGGATGATTTTGTACAACTCTTAATGAATGCTACATACGATAAACAAAAAGAAAATGATAAAACTTGTAAGTCGTTACACCTTTCGTATCGTACTCTTATCATATGGATATAGGCCTATATAATAAATGAAAAAATGTTATATTACTTTTATTTCATGTAAATTAGACTAACCATGCATTCAATAATATTAGAAAAATTATGAAAGTTTTTATAATAATCACACTTTAAATATATGCAGGGTGTCTGGATTGAGAGTGACACATTTGGAAAAACTATACTGTAAGTAAAATTGGGGTAAAAACTACTTCACAACGCTTTAAAATGTGTCAGTTTTAAACAAGACATCCGATATTAAATACGGTTTTAATTCAATAGTAATATTGATTTAATTGAAATAATTAGAATTAGAATATATACATTTTGTTGAATATATAAAATTAAGTAGGTTTTTATTAAATTAATGTAAAAGATACAATGAATAAAAATGAAACGTTTCAGTACCGATGTTCTAATATTTTATTAATTCTATTAAATTAGGTGTGATGAAAAAATCATTGTCAACAGATGAAGTTGTTATAAATATGATGAATTTTGTTTTGGCAAGGTAACTATCTCTGCTCGTCATTTCACAATATGAAAAAAACTACAGAGCAGTATAAATGTCTTTAGGTTTTTATTAAATTAATGTAAAAGATACAATGAATAAAAATGAAACGTTTCAGTACCGATGTTCTAATATTTTATTAATTCTATTAAATTAGGTGTGATGAAAAAATCATTGTCAACAGATGAAGTTGTTATAAATATGATGAATTTTGTTTTGGCAAGGTAACTATCTCTGCTCGTCATTTCACAATATGAAAAAAACTACAGAGCAGTATAAATGTCTTTATATTATACATACATGAATATATAATATAAAGACATTTATACTGCTCTGTAGTTAATTAATGTTAATAAATAAATCTACAGTACAAATCAAATCTTAAAAATTAAACGCTTACTAGTGAATGCTAAAAGAAGCAAAATACAAAGAAACTTTAAATTTAGTTATAATTAATTATGAATAGTTATGCGTTTCATTCATTAATAAACAATCACGGAACAAGTTTCATAAAATCTATTGGTTGTAAGCGTTGTTTGTAAAATTTGTCTGAATATACAATGCAACTTTAATTTTTACGTATTGTAGAGCTTAACCTAAACCAATTTAACCGAGATTTCATATTATTTGAGGAGAATCTTGGAAGAATACTTGTCAGCAAAGACAAGAAATGTAGTAGCCTACAATACATTTCTTTTTACGAATCTTGGCGGGATGATGCGTGGAACTAGATAAAGCTCCAGAAGTTTAAGTAAAGTAATTACTGTAATGACGTCACATGACGATATAAATTTTAAAAAATTAAAGAAATTCAATATTAATCATCACGGAACTTTGATTTTATAACGATATATTTGTGGACCATTTTGTCGATTAGTTTCTATCAAACGTTCCGTGTTATCTAAGTTTTGATCATGCAGGATATCCCCGCTTTCCATACCTTGGATATTCGAGATTATACTGTACATACTGTAATAATTGTATGTTATTATTTAATCAAATGGCTTAAGCTTATACAGACTACTAGCGACAATGGTACTGAATTTTACTTATATTTGTAGAATGATACGAAGAACGACTTTGATCCCATAAACAGGTGTTCAAAAAGGCACCGCCGAGACGCTAGACAGGATTGCTTATGCTTGACATATACAGCAAATGGTCTTGGATATAGCATTTGTGGTGAGTACAACAGCTGTTCGAACTGACGTCCTTCATCTTCATTACAAACATTGAGACACTGTAGAAAGGATTGTCAAACTCTATCACAAGGGTTAAGAATCTTTCAAATCTAACTAAAGTCTACAATATGGTCTGCCTGCATGGGTCCGCCTGCATGGATCAAATTCATTTTATCTAATATCTGCATATGAATAATGTTCATTGCAAAGATCCACTCAGGTGAACCAAATACTTATCTAACGCTTCAACAATGCATTTCCGAACACCCGTTTATAGATCAAATTTATTCAATGTACCATTCTTCAAACATACGCAAAGATCGGTACTTTTGTCATGAATTACTATATAATTTCATTGTATCTTCTGTTTGCTCATTTATAAAGTAATAATCTTAAAAACAAAATTAGTTATACTTTCAATCTATTTAATATACGAAAATTATATAAGAATTTAATTTTGTTTAAAACGGTATTATTTGGTTTTTCAGTTACGAATCAACGACTTCGACATTAACATTCGCATTGTATATGATGGCAAAGTATCCCGAAATCCAAGAAAAAGTTAGGAAAGAACTAAATTCAATAAACACAAATGAGGTAAGAATTACTGAAATTTTTTTTTAATTTTATGAATATTTACTTTATCAGAGTTTCATTCTTATATTTATGAAGAAAAGACAGAGAAGTGTATCAGAAATAAAAATAAATATAAGCCATAAAAACCGTATTACCTCGATTCAACCCGTATATTTTATTTTTAAATTGTAAGTATTCCCCGGGGTTTATTATCTTGCAGAATAAGACGAGTGGGTAAAAATTGAAAGAAATATTTTAATTACTTGTGCAAGATCCAGCAAGCGTCTCTTCCCTTAACACCTCTCCCCTAATAAATTAACAAAGAAATGTGAATGTAATAAACTAATTGCTGTTTGACAAATTTGTAGACAATGGGGGAAAATGTACTTACTTTTTATTAAGCAGTGTAAGTCCTGAGATCGGTAAACATCTTGGGATGGAGTCATATTCAGTGTCGAATTTAATTCGATGTTGATCTTTCCCGTGACCCAACATGGTCTCGAATTTCTTCTGGAAACTGATTAATGACCAATTGGAACGTCAGCATGAGGTCCAAAACCAATCGGGAACATTCGGTCGAGGGGCAAATCTTATAAACACCTTATCGTCTCTCTTTTTCACGAATAAACGGTCTTTCTTTCGAACTCATATTCGTGAGCTTTCCGACCGCGCCATCCAGACCGATCATAAATAGGATTAGCGAATCTACTCTATTATTAAATGCTTTCTTTTAACTTGCTTTGTATTGTCCTCAAATCTTGCAACTTAAATTACTTCCATTTTTAAGATAGAAGAACTGAAACTTCGAAGACATACCTAACTCCAATGACAACGTTTTTAATTGTTATAGGGTGTGGCCACATCCTCATTCGGAAACCCGAGAAATATAAACAAATGTAGAATGTAATCATAATGCGTGTTTGTAAATGCAGTACGGTGATGTTATGGGATAAAAGTGTGACTAACCCCATAATCCTCCACTCGAAACTTGAAAAACATGATCAATAAAGCATGTTTTTTTAATTTTTAAAAAATATATTAAAAGTATTTTTTATATATTATACTGTATATATAAAACTATATATATATATAAAGAGAGAGAGAGGGAGAGAGAGAAAAGTTGACCATTCTTTAGNGTGCCGGTCATCTATCTAACTCCGTTCTAGAGAAAATTTTCAAATTGAAATAACATGACTTCCTGTCCAAACCTAAAGTCACATTATATATATATATATATATAGTATATATCATGTTAACAATTATGAGGTCTGAGCATGTGGTGTTCAGACCTCATAAACAATTTTATTCGCAATGTTTATTTTTATAAAAAGTTATAATTTAAGATATCTGTCATCATTTATCCAAAAATAATGCATCGATTGTGCAGCTTCAAGGTATTATCCTGTTGTGAAGAATCGGAAGTTCTCATAATTTATCATTATAGTAACGATCAGAACACACACTTCATAGTCTGCTAGTGTTTCGCTTCATCAAACTAATCTATCATTCTATATATAAAATATCAATTTGCATAGCGCCTATCATTATCTCAGTATGAATAACTTTTTAGAAGTATGCATACAAGTGTATAAAGAGAATTATTTAAAAACCATTTCATAGCTCTTATTTGATAATTTTTAATTATTTAATAGATCATTAACTAATAGAAACAGTAAAATAAAATTATGTAAATTTGGTTAAATGTCAGTTATTTTATTATGGTCTAATATTTTAATTTTACAGGAAGAAGTTAAAAATTCTTTCTTGCGTGGTATTCCTTACCTCGATCAAGTAATTAATGAAACTCTCAGATATTACACTATAGTCAGAGTGTAAGTTCAACTCTATAAATATTTAAAATTTCGTATTAAGTGTGAATATAGATAATTAACTAATATTTTTTTACTATCAATATGCACTGTACATGCATTTAAATAATAATTGCAAAACATAGCCCAAATGCATTTGTTGTTTAAACTTACAAGCAATAAAAAAATGTATATTGCTTATTTTCACTTTTTTTATAATTAATATATGTTTCATTCGCTACATCAGCAAATTTATTAAATGTAAAATATTTTTACATAATTTCATTAAATATTTCAAATTTTGAACAAAATTTTCTGAAGAATGACACTATATAAAAATCAAATTTAAAGGGTACGAGGAAGGTGTGTACATCCGCCTTAATAACAAGACAAATAACCTGTAAATATTTACATATAATTTTTGATGGGCAGAACTTTATGAATAATTTAAATATGAAATAAATTAATTTAAATATTGTAATTTATATTAAAAATTTCGTAAGATATTTGAATTGACATAACGTGACATTCTTCACATTGTATTATACAATTGCAGTATTTCTCCAGAGAATAACAAAGTAAAATAGGGCCAAATTTTTATTTTTGAATGAAATAGCAGTAAAATTGATCATGTTATTTTAACTTTTATTCAATTGTATTAGTGCTTAATAATATAGGCTAATTATTTCATATTCAATATAACTATGGTATAGAAATTGGGAATATGTCCCAAAGAAGCGGCGTAAAACCGCGCATCCTTTGGAACCCCTTTTCTAATAATGGGGGAAATAAGTGCATTTATTCATAAAAATTTACAAAAATTTAGGAATCTAATGAATTCACCAAACGGCTTTCACTAGATTTTAGATAACCTTAATTCTCTAATAAAAATGTTATCCTTTGTTTATCATTTTATTATTATAACTATTTTTAACCAAATTACAGAAAACTTTTTTGAGGCTGATTACCAAACACATCGGATGGCTGAAACACAGTAAATACGTTGCGCTGAAATGGAAGTGTCTTATAGATCGTAAAATACGGTCACAATTTCTAAATTGTGTTTTATTTTTTTTATTATTTACTTTTTACGGAAGTAATTTCATCGTTCTAAAATTCAACTATAGGTATTTCTCGTATAACAATATAGATATGTTCCGAAAAAGTGCCGTGTTATGCGAATCCGTTTAATACGAAACAAAGGACTAATGCAAAACATAAGGATAGGTTTCAAAAGTTAACAAAAGTATACTATTCTTTTTCGTTACTAAGAGAAATATGTTTATTAAAGCAATCAATAATTAATTAACAATCACAATTAAAAGTACCGTATTATACGTTAATATTAATTTTAATTAAACGAGGATGTTTTCTTTTTACAAAGTATTGTCTTCATCTCAGCTTTTTTCTTGATCTTGAAAAGAAATATCAGTAACGTCCTTATTTTTTGATTTTTATCACAATTTTTTATGGATGAAAAAATAAAAATTAAAATATGTTATTAACCGAAAATTTGTTTTAGTGGGCCGTGTTTGTTTAGTCGAGTACTATACAACTTTTTCCAGAATTTGTGTTCGAGTACCTTAATAACGCTGTACTGTATTTCGTTTGTCATTTTTATGAATGAAGTAATCATTCGTAGGTAAGTAATACCTACGGTTAAATAAACTTTACTAAATACGAAGATTAATTTATAAACAGAAAACACAGTGACAGTCTTAAAGGCTAAAGTCTGAAAGCAAGGACAAGGACACTTGGTTGATAGGAAAGTTAGAACAAGGAAGAAAAAATTGCATTATCAGTTTTTATTAAAGAAAACCTGACGAAAGGCACAAAATAATTTGAAAATTTCATTATTCTAAAATCCACGGACATATTTGAAATAACACGCGTTCCTACTTAAAAGAAAAATGTCAAATAACGAAGTTCACACTTACGAATTGTGAAATTTTGTACAGAGGATTTCCAAACCGTGTTAGAGAGAAACTGTGTTGTAGAAGTACCGTGTTGTACGAGGGATACCTGTATCTTGTCTTCTCACTTGAACCCTCCATAATAGTCACTAACTTCTGCTTTCTTACATTTTAAAACCGTTTAGATCCATTCTCATTCTTATCACAGTACTTTCGAACTCCTCATTAATTTATCTACATGGTTGACTTTGAAACTTTAAATCTTATTCGACGGTAGTTTCAATTTTACAAACATCGCATTTTTCTAACGAACCTCATTAGAATTTTCAGTTCGAAAGTATTCGGATATGAAAAGAAGCTGTTCCATACGAAAACAAAAATTAGTAATTAAGGATATTTTATCATTCATATTGATAATAAGATATAGTTAATTTGTTAAATGTAAAAGTATTTATATAATTATAAATAAAAATATATCTTCACTTTTTATTTACTTATTTATTTTGTTTTTACATTTTATCAAGGAAATAGGCTGTGGTAACTAATTTAATTTATTTTAAAACTATTACTCTCGTACAATGCTACCTGGAATTACACAATAACAATTCTATGCGATTTAATTTTTGATTTATATTATGCAATTGTTAGTTTTTACTTCAGTAATTTTGGATTTTTTAACAGTTTGGTAACTCGAACAATAACAGGAGAAATTAAGTGGAATTCAAAAACTTTACCAAAGAATTTGGTACTACAAGTGGCTGCCTATCAACTGCATCATGATCCTGAATATTGGGAAAATCCTGAAACGTTTGATCCCGATCGGTTAGAAAATTAAAACCATAAATTAATATAAATTCTCCTTTTTCTATAATACTTTTCTAATATGTTGTAGATTCTTACCACATAATAAACAGAAATTAAATCCGATGATTTTCCAAGCTTTTGGTTATGGACCTAAAAACTGCATTGGAATGCGGTTTGCTTATCTCTCTTTAAGACAGATATTTACACGTCTTTTAACCAAATATAAATTCGAAATATGTGAAGAAACGGTAAGTAATAAATTTATGACAGCTTTATTTAAATATTCTGTGTTAACGCAATATATGATTCTCTGGTGTTGTGAAATTTGATATTTCAATCTGTTTAATAATTTTTATGAATAATTCAGTTAATATTTTTTGCTTTTTCTTTCTCATTTTGTTGACTGATGCAGTTAAGTTAATTCAGTAAGAAATAACTAAGAGTTGAGATAAGTAATAATAATAATGATGATAACAGTAATATTATTATTACACATCATATTATATACCAACATAATTAATATTATTATTATAATGATGTGTTCCACATGGCATGTGTTCTGGTGCCTATCTCTATCCAGACCAAGACCAAGGTATAACTACAGGACATGCTATTATTTCGTTTTTACAATAATAGCTTGTTTTATTTGGAAGAAAAGAGTCCAGAAGCTCTTTTTTAAAACAAATAACAGTCTATTTCTCTATTTTTAAGACATCGAAATGAACAGTTTACTATGTCTTTCACTTATATTAGAGAATGACATAATACTATACAATATAATTACTATATTTAGAATAGTTGCTAATTCGTCCGCCATTTTGGATTTTATGTCATTAATTATATTAATAATAGATTAAGTGGTGAAAATTAATGCGCGATTATAGCAATTATTTTATAAATTACAATTTTATTTAATTTATAATTTATTGAAAAGAATTTAACTTTCAAATAGGCCTACATGAATAATCTTTACGAATTTGTAATAATGTATGCAATACAAAGATACGGGATGCAAAACAAAAAATACTGTATGCAATATAGTTATACTGTATTTATTAGTACAAACGACTGGTTTATAGAAAATCTAATGCGGCATGAATCCAGGGTTTAACTAGATATAAGTCTAAGATGATAAAGGTTTTTATTTGATTCATGAGATAGTTACATTCATTGCAGGTTTCTCTAAACTGCATATTCTTAAAGACTTTAAGTACTGGTAATAAACGATATAGGTTCGACCTTTGAAATTTTAGTTTAGCTTTGTTTTATCCTATGTGTAACATTTTGTGATTTAATTTTTGAATTATATTATGCAATTGTTAGTTTTTACTTCAGTAATTTTGGATTTTTTAACAGTTTGGTAACTCGAGCAATAACAGGAGAAATTAAGTGGAATTCAAAAACTTTACCAAAGAATTTGGTACTACAAGTGGCTGCAGCTGCCTATCAACTGCATCGTGATCCTATGTGTAGCATTAGCATTATTATTACTATTGTTATTCCTTAAGTTTGAAGATTATGAAACAAGAGATTAAAAATTAAGATGTCATTTCCTGTTTAGCGAAAACAATTCTCTGTAGATGAACTCTTCTACGTTGTTAAATAAAATTTTTATTCTTCGTATTTATTTTTACATATGATGGTATTGTAATACTTGAATTGTAACAAATATGAGGGCATGAGGAAATTATTCATAGTATTAACAATTAAAAAATAAAACACTGCGACTATGTAACCCATTTTCATATTCCTTGTGATTTTGTCCATGTGCATGCAGTAATCGCTGAAGCTTATTCGTTTGTAAGGACATAGTATGTAGAATATGTGAAAATTAATGTAAAGAAATGTCTTGTTTAACGACGTAAAAAGTTAAATCAACAAAGGCTTGTTTTCGCTAAATGACGTCACAATTTTTAATCTCTTGTTTTGTACGTTTAAAACGCTCCACATTGTCTAGCCCCAGTACCTAGCATCGTATCCACTCGTCTATCGCCACTCAGTCACATCAAACTTTCATTGTTTAGCTTATAAGTCTGTATTTTCAGCGGCCGAATTTTTTTGGAAATGCTTGAGAAGCGGGTTATATTATTTGAACGAGGAGCCTTTTGTGTTTAGGGTACTCACTAGGTTTCATTCGAATTGGAGATTCGAACATCTCGCCCTCTCCTTGTAAAAATAATTTAAGAATTATCACATTTAAATCATTACACAAATCTTGAAATCGATATATTTGATAATAAAATGAGCAGTGCATATGCAAATACTTATTCTTACTTTAAATATAAAAGACTTAATGTATTCTTACTTTTAAAATGTTTAGATATAAAAGACAAGTGAATATATATACGTAGTACGATCCAAAAGTTCGGGGACTTGGCTTAAAATTCCTTACCTTAAAAAGATTATATTGCCGATGCATAACCATCTTTAAAGTAATCATCTTGGGCAACGATACACTTTTGCCAGCGCTCATATAACTTCTGGAAGTACCGCTGGAAGCCATTTTTTGAAACCTCCCGTAAGGCCTCCTGCGATGCTGCTCTCACCTCATCTGATGACACAAAACAGCGTCCCTGCAAATGCTTTTTCATTGATGGAAACAAATAAAAATCACATGGGGCTAAGTCCGGTGAATAGGCGGGGTGTGGAAGCAGATTAATTTGAGTTGTCGTGCAGAAGGTACCAGTCTCCACTTTGCCAGATCTGTGGCCATTTACGACGAATGGATTTTCTCAAATGACATAAAATGTCTAGATAATGCTCCTTGTTTACTGTTTTGCCTTCGGGAATAAATTGTAAATGAACAATTCCTTGAGAATCAAAAAAACACCCATATCATGACCTTTCCTTTGCTCGGTGCATGTTAAGATTTTCTGTTAAAATACGCTGGCAACTAGTCTCTGATAAGTGAGTAGCCGCAGCAATTTTTTCAAGGGTTTGGCGACGATCTTTGAGAACATATTGAGAGACCAACTCAACACTTTCCTTGTTCCGTGAAGTCGAAGAATATTCATCGTCTGCGATGGATTCTCGGTCCTCTTTAAAACGCCGATGCCATTTGTACAGCTTTGATTTCGCCATGGTAAAATCACCGTAACCTTTCTTAGCAATTTTAAAGTCTCCGTAGGTGTTTTACTTAAACGCTGACAAAATTTAATGTTGCAGTACTGTTCTTGAAACTTCATTTTTATTACGTCGCAAAAGAAAGGTAACTATCTCTGAAAGAAACAACAGCGCTCGCGGTTTAATCACGTGACATGGGCGAAATCAACCTGAACACGTAGGAAAGGTTTGATAGAATCAATTTCATATGCTATAATTTCAAATACAGTACATGCTTTTGTTGTCATACATTACTGTAGTACCCGAACTTTTGGATTGTACCACGTATATTTACTTGTTTTTAGTACAGTATATTTATTATATATACAGTACATATACAGTAGAGCTTCGATTATCCGAATCAATTGGGGACTGGGATTGTTCGGATAACTTGTATTTCGGATAACCGATTATGTACGAAAAAATAGTTTAACGTATCCGATGTTGAAATTTTTCTCCGTTGTGTGTCGCTTTGCGTTGAATTTTCGTCGATGTTAAGCCTAACAAAGACTATTGTATCGTTAAAAATTATTTTATTTTGTACAAATAAAATAAATATATTGAAAAATATAAAAAATTATACTTCAGATGTTAATTTAGTAGAGGAGAAGGTGGTATTATGGAACACTGCGGGTATTATGGAATCACCCCATTTCGAACTGATAATAAAGGCGAACTGTAGCGGAATGTGGCTGAACTAAACTTGGCAGACATCCATAGCAACGGGAAAACCCGTTTTACTTCAGTTGAACGGTTGTCCGTATTTAATCAGCAAATTTGTGTTTTTCAAAATTTGCAAGTTTTGAATGCTAAGTGAATTTAATTATTTTTAAAATTTAAATCGTGTAGTTGTAGGTTCACTGGTGCATGTATTCCGTTCCAAAGACTTAGATGTACATATTAATTTGTGTGATGTTCACGTTTTTTAAAATTTGGTTTTGACAGACATAAGTTAATTCGAGATGGCGATGCGTGAAATACGGACCCTTTTGGTGCTTTTACAGTAATATGGAACTCAACTCCTCCGAACACTCTCTTTGCAATCAGACATTCGTCCGGAGCAATTTGAAAAAAAGACACTAGATAGAATGTCAATTCTTCCTGATAATATTGAAAAAGAGCTGCTGGAATATATATTGTTGATGGAGGTCATATTTTTCTATTATAAAAGCATTTTTGCGATAAAATACATTGGAGTAAATAATTTTGTAATTATTTAACATTTTTTGTACTTTCCTATTTGTTTTTGGCTACATTAAAGCATTTTTTTGAAAATATACAGTAAGGTTCCATATTACCACCCGATTTTCTCTAAGCCTACTTTCGGACTTTTTGTACAAAAGCCTTCAAAAACCATACTTATAGTTACACTAGCGAAAAATCCAATTAGGAACATTTAGTTTACTAGTTACCGGTACTTTTCGCACAAAAAATGTGGGTGTAGTTATGATACCTTGTTTACAATTCACTAAAATGTAATTGGGGTTCCATAATACCACCTTCTCCTCTATCAAAAACGTAAAATATTTGAGTAGCCCAAGACATAGCCAAAGATTGAAGCGCCCCACCACTGGCGAAAATTCAAATTTGCCGACTGGAATTCTTTCGGATGATTAGCTTTCTGATAATCGACGCTCTACTGTATTTGTATTTAAACGTTTTTAATTATTGGAATTACATATGTATAAGTTATATATATATAATTTTTTTTATTTTCAGGAAACGTTAATAGAAGGTTACGAACATATTGTACTGAAACCAGTGAACGAATTGATTTTAAGAGCTATTCCTAATTTTTAAGTTCTGATTACAATGCAAATGCCGATTTGATAATATGAAATTGGTACTTTATTACAAATAGAAATTTAATACATTTTAAAGCATCTGAGCTAGTGACATAATCGATGTTTGTCTATGAAATATATAAAGTCTATATTTTATGTAAAAGCTTAAAAATAGAAATTTACCCTAGAACAGCGGTCGGCAACCAATAGTCCTTTGACTATTGATGGTCCGCAAGAAAATTTGGACATTGATCAACAGAAGGTTACGCGAAGTAATACGAAAGAAATGCAAAAAGCTTAGTTACTTTTTTCACTCATTGGGGTTTCTATTCGAATCTAAAACCAAATATGAAGTGACTGTTATCAATAAATAATGAACAATAAACAATATTGTGAGTGCAATTGTCGTCCTTGGTGGAAAAGCGCTAAGAATCCATAAACTTGTTTCAAACAAGCAGCAATAAACTTTAGGCTTGCATTAATTTGTTATATCAAATTAATGCAAGCCTAAAGTTAATGCAAGCCTAAATATCGATGTAACGAAACATCGATAACGTTGCTATTTAAATTACATTTGATTATTCATGCGGAAAAGATACTATTTCCGTTTTTCTTCTGTACGTATCATAGTTAAATTTAAATCAAATTAATTAATAAAAACTGCATTAATTGACATTCACATAATACAAATGGCATTCAAGAATATGTTTAACTTAAATCAGTGTTTCTCAACCTCTAACGAATCGTCGCCTCCTTCAACGTAGTATCGGCCACTTCACTTTAAAATTTCGATGCCGAGAGCCAAGACTAACGCCAAATTCGTACTGCATTGAATAGACTAGTGACTAGTATAATGTTATTTGTTTAATTATTGTACGATATAACGAATAAAATATCTAATTATTCTTAATATAATGTTTTACTAAATCGCCCAGAAAATTGTTTTTCGCCCTGCAAAATATAAATTGTTGCTAATCGTCCTGTCAACATCGAAAAACGCCCACATGAGGGCGATATCGCCCCCGTTGAGAAACACTGGCTTAAATGAAATGAAATAAATTTATTAGTATAATATTAATACAGTAAACTTTCATTAACGGACACTTCCGAATAGTTAACACCTCTATTTAACAGACATTTTTACAATTCCCATACCATTCAAATGGGACATTTATTATATTTACCTTTAAATAGCGGACACTCTAAATAACGGACGCCGTCGTCCATAACCAACCTTACGAAAACGTAAAATCCTATCTTCAATATTTTGAAAGAATTAATTACATACGAAATATTTTAAAACGAAAACAAAGAATCGGTTTAAATACTCTTTCAGACGATGAATTTTGACGGTAGGCATCAGACTGGCTCAAAATAGAGGAAGAGAGCAGGTTATAAGAAGGCGAACAATATTCTTTATCTGTTAGAGAAGTTTAAACTGGTTAAGTTGTCAGCCACCATTTATCGTTATACATATTAAATGTTCAATTTCAATGTAAAACCATCTCTGTAATCCAAAACAATATGGTAGACGTGTCTCACAGCAATTCTCGGTTAGCAATATGATTTTATTGTCTAATTGAACTACATATTCATTTCGGGTTGGTGTAATATGTTCCAACCCCTCCTCAGTGAATTTTCCAGTATATAAATTACAAAAAAAAAGAACAGCCCTTCCTTATCTCTGACATTATACAGGTACAAACCTTCTAAAAGCCATAAATAGGTACTGTACACTTACTTTTATAATATATATTGATTGATGATTAAGATTTTTAAGGAGAAAAATTAACCATCATCAACCGAAGACGTTTATTACATTTAAATACTTTAATCGATAGTATGTCGATTAATAATTATAGATCTATCGATAACTTTTTAAACTATCGAACTATCAATACTTACGCAGTCGATACCCATCTTAATGCTTACAAAGTGTAATAATGGAAAAATGCTCTCTCTTCTGTTATTTTCAACATATTGATTAGCGTAATTCAAAAAAAAAAAATAATATAAACCCTGTTTACATTTAATTCCTGCCTAGCAGACTTAAAATCGAGTTTTTCGACATTGCTTCTCATTGAAATTTTCATCCCTCTAGCTTGTCTTTCATTTTAAGGAAATTATAAGTCTGTCATAGTAAAGTTAAAAAATAAGAATGGAACAGCGCTGTTATGCCCTACTTGATCAGATATTTGCTAAAGAAAAATGAGAGATCGAAGCTGCAACTATCAGAACCATTAGCAACATTACAAAAAACGGCTTGTAGTACTCTACTGCTTTGACAAATGATATGACTGCTGGCAGAAGGTTCTTAAAGCAAATCTTTTTAAAACACTTGTATAATTAACGTAATAAAAGTTATAGTAAACGTTTGTTTTATCTTTTACTCTACTGATGACAGGAATACTCACCACTATTGTCATTTTCTTTTGGATCGTCATCCCCATAAACAACTGTACAAAATCATCCTGTTGAATCTAAAATTTTTAAAATGGAATTTAAGTAAAAAGAATTATGTATATGAAACCTATTTAAGTTATAATATGTCACAATAATACGACTCAAAAATATGTTGAATAGTATTTGATGAAGAAATAAAAATACATTTGTCTTATTTATTAATAAAATAACTAAGCAAAATAAACAGTTTAAGATACGAGTTGATGAATGTATTTTGTTACAATCGTTCAAAACCTGAATGTCTCCCACAGTTTAAGGTGCAGTATTCATCTCTCAAATACCATCATCAAAGTTCTCAAAATTAAACGACAATGTAATACTCTCTGCGATAGACTATTTCCTAAATGAATTTACACTGAATTAATTACGTAGTAAAAACTTGAACATCGTTTATTCAAAACTTTGATTTTGTAATGCCATTCACTCGTCGAATGAATGAAGGTATTATGCATCAAAGCATAATATCTTCATAATTCATAAAGCATAATTAAAGATATGACGTGTCTTTAAATCTAAGTGCTTTGAATTAAAGGCAAAGAAAAGTTTTAACTAAATTGTTCTTTTCTTTCCTATCTTATGAGACTTTATTCTACTTTGAAAATACAGTATTAATTTTAGCCTAATGTTATTGAATCTGTCGCAAGAAACTGTTCAGATTTAAGATATACTATTGTCGCTAGATATATACAGTATGGTCACAGGAGGTTAAATCGTAAGGAGCTACAAATTGTCAGTGATACAGATACGATATTGTCAGCTACAAAGTTGCAGAACATGAGAAATACGTACTATTTTCTTTTAGTGCATTCCGAAATATTAAGTGTGATGCCGAAACAGGCTGTGAAATTGACAGGAAAATTAAGCATTTTCCTGCCAATACATCAGCCATCAGCAAGATAATAATTTTCACTTGAAACATTTAAAAATAATCCATTCTTTAAATTTAAATCTTTTAAATTAAAAATATTAAAAAAATACAAATTTGTTTTTCATTTAAAAAATGAAACAATTTTCAGGTAATATAAAAATTATAATAGAAACTATAGATTATAAAATCTAGATAGAAAGAAATATGATGAACGTATATAAAACGGCCACACTGTATATATCTAGTGATTGTAAGAAATATCAACATTCTTTCAACAGTAAACACTTTTTAGTTCGGCATTTAGAAGGGAAAAGAACATTATGCGAACACACAGACGAATAAACCAACATAAAACTTCACATCAATATGCTGTATTGTTGAACTCCACTCATGGGTGTGATTAACATGAGTGGAGTTCAACAATATAGAAAATAGATTGTTTTTTTCTGTTCTTTTTATTTATTGTGAATCAACACATTGATATTTACAAAAGTCAGATTATTGAGATTTCAAGATGAAGTCAGATTAATTAAACACGTAAAGATTTATCACAAGAACATTGAATAAAAAGTTCATTATTAATTTTAACGTTTAAAAAATAATATAATCTGTAAAAGTGAAATTAAAACATTTAAAAATTTGAGCGATTAAATTATTTGTAATTTAATATGATATAAACCTGAGAATTTGATTTTCTGAGACGAAGAACATTTAATAAATTTTTATAAGCTCCTAAGCACGAAGGTCTCCCCAAATATTATGAAATTTTGTCTTTCGCTTCTCTGATTAACGTAAAAATTGTTGAAAATTCCGGGAAACATACTGTAATTAAATACAAAAAATTTAGAAGTTATTTTATAATTTTAACAATATAACAAACCTAGGGTATTGTCGAGAATTTCTAATTTTATAAATACTGTATCCTATTATGAGATAATATAAGTAAATATTTAAATTTGAATTTAATGATTATAGCCTATAGTAATATAAGTAGAAAAATATATTTATTAATTTATTATAAAATCTTTTTGATAAAAAAATAACTTGAAGAACTGAAATGGATGACTACTGTAGAAAACAATAGTAGCTGGATTTTTGATCATAGGAAAGAAAAGACACGTTAATAAACAGCAAGATGATCTTATTGTATTCTAGTAATTCCTGAATCATTTTCGTATAAATGATTTTGTTAATCAATATCTTACAATTTTTCTTCATAACTCTATTTTCATTTCTAAGTAATTACTTCTATAAAAGAATAAATTAAATAAAACGAAAACTTTCGAAAACCAATTGCCCTATTTGAAATAATGTGTAAAAATCTTATGTAATTACAAAATTATTTCTACATGATGGTGAAAAAATTTTTTCCACAGCCGATTATTGCGAAAAGTGGCTGCTTTAGTTCTTTATCATCATTAGAATCTAGGAATTATTATCATCGCCCAGTAATTTTTTCAATTTTAGGAAAGTTCTTCAATTGCTATTTTACGTATAAAAATTAATAATTATATGCATAAACCTTAATTATGCTTCATTTCTAACGGTGACAGAAAAATACTTTCTTCNTAAGTAATTACTTCTATAAAAGAATAAATTAAATAAAACGAAAACTTTCGAAAACCAATTGCCCTATTTGAAATAATGTGTAAAAATCTTATGTAATTACAAAATTATTTCTACATGATGGTGAAAAAATTTTTTCCACAGCCGATTATTGCGAAAAGTGGCTGCTTTAGTTCTTTATCATCATTAGAATCTAGGAATTATTATCATCGCCCAGTAATTTTTTCAATTTTAGGAAAGTTCTTCAATTGCTATTTTACGTATAAAAATTAATAATTATATGCATAAACCTTAATTATGCTTCATTTCTAACGGTGACAGAAAAATACTTTCTTCGTTTACAAAAATTATTTGACCAACTGACAGAGCTTCTTGTTATTATCGTTTAACAATAATTTTTCGAAGAAACAAGAAATATATATTAATATTTTATGAATTGCATTTGAAATTTAAATTTTTTAGCAATGGTTTACACCAGTGATTCTCAAACTTTTTCG